CGTAGAAAAGTAAACCATTTTATGTCGTGACAGCTAGCTACCTAAAATTCTTCCAGTCCAAGTGACCATGATAACCACACGCACGGTGAAATCATTTTCTTCTCTAGCACTTTAATGAGTCGGGGATTACAGGAAAGCTTGGAGACTGAAACGCTAGCGTAGAAAAGTAAACCATTTCATGACGTTATAGTTACCTTTCTATTCTTCCAGTTCAGGTGACCATGATAGCTACATGGACGGTGAAATCATTTTCTTCTCTAACCCTTTAATGAGTCGGGAAACACAGGAAAGCTTTGAGACTTAAACGCTATCGTAGAAAAGTAAACCATTTCATGGTCGCATTTTTGCTAAACAAAATTATGTGCTAATTAATCGAATCTTGGGTAACCTATTTTCATATGATTTAGGTGTTTCGTGAAGTTCATTTTGATTTTGCTTATTTGCAAATAGTTCTTTCCAGGATGAATACGCCCGAATAAAATTTCCAATTGAAAGGGAAAAAACGAAACAAATAACAAAAAATATATATTCAACGGCGAAAATTCCTGATAATTTTATAAACTAATTCTTTCCTCTTTCCTACACAAGAAAAACAGAGAGGAAAATTAAAGGAAGAAAGAAAAAAAAAAACAATAATTGGGTCATAGAGGGCAATCAAGGGCTTGTAGGACCTCTTGAGCTCCCTCTTAGCTTCACCGTATTTGAAACAAGTCTATTTTCCTTGTACTATGCAGTTTGTTTATGTAGTGTATGCGCCAGATTGACGCCGATCAAGTTTTATAACCTCTCCCGGAAATGTCAAGATACGCCACCAGAAAAATTCCCACAAAATTTATGAGCCTCCGTCGCATGTCACTACGAATACATATGTGGAAAACTCTAAGATTTCAGAGAATAGGCATATAAATCTGCAATATTATTTTCCTTTGAATTCCTACACGGAAAGTGAGATATAATTAGCTGAGGTGTGGACAGAAACACAGTTATGCCCATCAACTCGTTACTTTTCATAAAAACAGACAGAGGATTAAATTTACGCAGCATTTTGCACGTTCCCCAACTCAAAAATTCCAAGATTTCCGCTCCTGTAGACGAGTTCGTCGAAGTCATCAGAAAAATTTCAAACATCTATCAGAAATGTGGAAAATTTTCGCCGATCTTTATGCCTTACAAAAAAGGAGCGGTGCCGTTAGTGACTATCACATTAAATTTTCGCTCGTTTCACACTGACACCAACACCCTCGTCAGATCGGTAAAATTCGCAAGTTATGGACGCGAATAGCCAACTTCAGAGTGGCCAAGTCCTTGAGCCCTAAAAAAACACACTCAAATGAAATGAGAATGAGAGGCAAAAAATACATCTTAGCGAAGAAAGAAATGTGGAATGAAACCTTGATATCGCCGATTGGATTCTGATCGAGTTCAGATGGACTTATCCACGGACACTTTTGTCTCTGTTTTCTCTCTTTCTTTCGCACTTCAAAGAGTTCTCAATCTACTGGTGTTCGACTTTTTTTCATTCATTCATCGAATTTTTTATTTATTTAATTTTTATTCAGAGAGTGCATTGTACTTCCATGTACTTCACGATTTGTGTTTTTCGCCCTCATTTTCTTATTAACTCAGTAAATTTTTTTAAAGAAAATTATTCTAAATTCTTGTTGACCAAAATAAATAAACGAATTGTTATATATAACGACGATTAGTAACTTACATTTGCTCCGAACTCATAGACAGGGTGGAATTTATCCTTTTCTCTCCTCGTATTCTAATGAAGGGGCTTGGTAAACTTACGCTCGCTTATTAATGGGTTACACTGAGTGAATCAAATCAATCGTACGAATTTATCTTTGTTGCAAAGGAATACATTTAACGTTTGAGGTATGGATCCTTGTATTGAAATAGGACCTGACTTGCTGTAATGGTATTGGAAAAAAAGTGAGAAAATTCTTTGATCGTGAAATCGTGTTTTTCCCCTTTGCGGAGTAAGGTAAAAGAGAACGTCCTCGTAAATTGGTTATTTATTGAATTTCATTCAAACGCAAAATATGATCAAAGGACTAGTCATAATGTAATTTCTGGTTTGTATTGACTAAAATATTAATGTCCGTGTAGCCACAACCAATTATTTCTTCATTTTTTACATTAGGGTTGTGTGTATTTTCTCGATGAAATTATCTTACCGTAAAACGAAGCCAACTCCTCAGCACTCCTTTTTTGTCATGGATCTTCAAAATCAAGGTGATGGAATCCAAATCGTTCCAAATTGAAATGCTATAAATGGGAGAAAAAAACAACGATCTCCGATATTACTGAGGCTGATGTTTGAGCGATAAGCTCATGAAGTATTTGCTCCCTCTTAAGTCCTCTTTCCTCCGAAGTGTGAAGCTTTTAAAATGAGTTAAGTTATAAAAAGTTACTCGCTTGTTTCTGCTTATGGATAATTTTTTTTAGAGGAAGTTCCCGATATTTTTCCGTAACGTAAACTTTAATTTTTCTCTGCTTTGTGTTTCAGAACAATGTTGGTTGAATTTCATCAGGAAGAAGTATATAAAACCTTAAAGAGAAATTAAGAAACTTGAAATGACAGCTGCGACCAAACGATCTTACAAGTGACACGGTATAATCCTTCAATTATCAGATCCTTAGCAAGTCATACGCCGGAATCCGGTAAACGCAATTCAGGAAATTTTTTCCACTATTTGATTTTATCAATTTATCATTAAGTCAAGCCATCTACATATTTAAAACAGAAACAATCTCTTGCACCAGTTAAACTGGAGATCAAGTCTGTCTAGCTAAGGTAAAACCTTCAGGCGTTGCCAAATTTCCTTTGGTAAATCACAAACTTTTGGGGAAATTTGTAAATATTTTTCCTCCAATTTTTCAGATAATTTTGTTCCCAATTTCCCCTAGATTTCCTGAAAATTCCAAGGGAATATATCTACAGCTTTATTCAAAAATAAACATTTTATCGAAGGAAATTTGGTGACTCTCGAATGTTCATACGGCGTTTTTCCTTAGCACGGCAGAAGTGTAGCGGTCGCAGTCTGGCGAGGTTCACTAGGAACGAGCGCCGTAGAGCCAGACAATATTCCGCTGTGTAACGCGTGTTGACAGTCGATGAATACACGGGGAAACTTCCGAGTTTCCCACGACCGTGTGGGTCCGCTTTGGCAGGAACACTTATTGTATATCCCTATGTCTTACAGTATATGCGTACAAATCTACCTTAGAGCATAATTCTGAAGTCCAGCTGTTCAAGTCTCGAACATCCTATATGTATAGTATGTATGTAGGATGGTCAATCGAAAGTGAGGTAATGGGACACTTTCTAGTATAGACATATCTTCTGAGCAGCAAACTACAGTAAATGGGTCAACGAAGTCAGAAATGAATTTAAGAGAGAACCCGAGATGAAGATACAATGTGCCGTGTTCTAAAATTCAGAGATCTATCATGCCGCGTCGTGAATGTATATTTTCGAGCCAGTGTTTATTTTTTTTCACAATACCTCATGTTTTGGAAAAGAAAAAAACAAACAACCTAAAATCCATTTGCGATTTAAAAGTGAATGATCAAAGGACTTACTAGCTAGTTGCAATACCTGATACATTGGTCAGTGGGTCAGAGGCCGCGCCTATGTTGAAAAAGACTGCCACTGGGGAGGAAAAGGTGAGTGTCGTCAGAAACAAAGATACGCATATCATTCGAGACAAGGCTCATCCTCAGTAAAAGGAGCACCTTAAGTTTGCGAGTTTTTTAATCTATCGATGCCTTTAGATAACATTTAGTTCGAAGTCGAATCAAATCGACTCGTGCCTACTTAAATATTTATGTATTCGATTTTGACAGTTTATGAAGTAGTATCTAAATTATTTCTATGCTTTTGAAAGGTAAGAAAAGCATATCCTGATTTTTTTTTATAACATACTGACAATTTTTCACTCCCTCTCATCTGTCAAATGTAACTTCTTAAAAGAGATTGTTAAGTCAATTTGACTGAGCTTGGAATTTCCAGGGGTAGTCGTAAGAAAGATATCCCCGATACGACACAACTCTCGCTAAAATACGAATGTTTAGACTAGATCGCTTGAGAAACCTGAAATTTTTTATTTTTCTTCTCACGCAATGATTCTTATTTATGACTTTTCACAGCTTATTTTGAGATTTAACCTTAATTTTCTTCCAAATTCAGAAAGTAGAGACACCTCAATGCGCGATGATGACTGAGCAGAGATACAACTATTCGTACTTGATGGATGTCTGTGTTGTATCTGCAAAATTGAAGGCGCGATGACGCGCGGTGTAAACTCGCGATGCTCCGTTCTGTGCTGCCATTACAAAATCACTCCGATTCTAAAGAAAAGTCAAAAAAGGAGGCCCGATTACGTCTCACCTACCTCGGGCTGTGTTGCTCACATAGTCCTTGAAACACCTTTACAAATTAAACAAATGAAACCAACACAACTTGGGAAAAGAGCATTGGAAAGGACACGCATTGATCACGGCGCAGAGATACAACTATTCGTGCTTGATGGATGTCTGTGTTGCTTCTTGCAAAATTGAAGGCGCGATTGCGCGAGCCGTGAACTCGCAATGATCTGCTCTATCCCCTATCGCCTGATCTGCTCTATACCCTATCGCCTGATCTGCTCATCTCCTATCGTCTGATCTGCTGTATCCCCTTCAAAAGTAATTCCCACGTAAATATTATTTTATTTTTTCTCCATTGTAAATTTTAGTAGGGCTTAAATTACGTTACCACTCTACCATTTTCTTTTTGGAATGTAGATGCAGGGTATTTTGCACAGAGAGGAAGCTTTGAAGAACTTCCCGTCTGGCCGCCGCAAGCAGTTGATGCAAATTAAGAAAACAAAAAAGAGAGGAAATGTAAGCACATAATGACTCAATATTTTACTTTTTTAAGAAGATTTAACGTTTTATCATTTTATTTTCTCCGCATAAGTGTTTTTAGGGTACAAAAAGTAAAAATTCAATTTGATTAAATACATGTTTTATTATTGCCTCTCCTGAGATCTAAAATATTCAGTAACGTAAGTTTCAATTTTTAAAAAGTAAAAAAAAGAAAGAAAAAAACAAGGTAATAATCAAACGATGAAAATGTAACATTTTTTAATTTCACAAGGAACTTAGTTTCCTTTTTATATTACACAAAAAGCCTACTTTGTAAGTGAGCTAACACCTTCATTAGAAAAAAAAACACTGATGGCTTTTAAAAATAATCACTGCAGAACATTTTATCTCCAATCCACAAGTGAATTTTAAATCAGAGTCTGTACCTAAAATGAAAATTTTGTGTATTAAATGAGAGAAAATAATTGCAGACCGTTCTTATCAACGGAGCGATTATTTTCATTGCACCAATTCTGCTTCAGTTTTTTGCGCCGTGCAATTTTACGAAAAATCCATGCAGAAGATTGGAACGTTGTTAAACACCAATGACTTTTGCATCCACCTCGGCAGAATATTTCATCATAAATGAGTACCATTTTGAATTTGCGGTTGCAAAAACCTCGATAATAATATTTCTCGGTAGAAACTTGCTGACTTTTTTGCTCTCCTTGTTCGTTTTGGGTCCTTAAAGTCAACATGATAGAATCCAAATCGTTCACTGAAACGAGAACAATATGCATATTTAATTCTTTTTGTTCTTGAGACCATAATACTAATATTATTTGATGCATGTACACAAAGACAAATTTTATGCTAAAAGAAACGATGTGTATAGAGTTTGCGTGTTTTAATGTTCCTTTTTACATAAATACGCCCACACAACACTTTTTAATCAAAAGTAGTCAAGGGGCTTTGAAGACAAGGCGCATAAGTGTAGTTTTTCCTACTGCGAGAAATACGTAGGTATTTAAAGTTTCAAAATTACATGGATCCTTATGGCGGAAAGAAAGTTAAAACTGACTGTTAGATGCTTATAAGTAGGAATTTGAGAGCAAATTTTTCACAGAATGTGGCATTAAGACTGATTTGACTTGAAATCATTATCTAACATCTAAATTCTTTCAAGAACTGCACTTATTCGCCTTATCGTCCTCCAAGCCCCTCAATTTTACCTAGCAGCACCTTGACTATACTTTCCCGATGAAGGAATACTTTCCAAATACGCACCACAATTTTTTTACACTAATGCCTTTCTATCAATTATCATGGCAATAAAGGCACTGAACTCTACGATTTTGCTCAAGGTCAGTGGAAGAGAATATCTAGAATTATTTGAACAATTCGGAAACTGGGTTAAACTTTGTTTCCACTTTTGCCTTTTTTTTACAAAACAAAGCATGAATGATTTTCAATGCATCCATCTCATTTAAATGTTTAACCCCAGGAAGAAGTGTTTGTTGGATTTTAAAAACAACGAAGACCTATGTCATTTACAATAAAATCGAGCTGTCAACGCCTAAGATTCCTCTATCAAAATAATCGTGTTATAGGGGATTTTTGGCAATTTTGAGAGAACAGAAATTGAGAAAAAACTGTACTCACTTGAAACCTGAGTCCCACTCAAAACTATCCATGAAAGACCAGCCTGAATAGCCGGTTACGTTAACTTTGTCTATGTTCACAGCTTTCAAAAGCTGTTCGAGGTATGCCTGTAATCACACAATGACATGGATTTATATTTTGTGTATAAACTTAGGACTAAAAATCATCAGGTTGGTATAAGCATATTACGTCAGAAAAGAAGTGAACAATAAATATGCTAAAATGTACGGAAAAAATTAACCGTTGCTCTCAGAATGATCATAGTAGATTTCAGATCTAACCTCCTTTTCAGAGCATACACCTAGTTGTAATGTTGATTTTGTGTAGTTACAGTTTTACATAATGTAATAGCTTTGTAACAATACGACTAGAAAAATTTGTGCAGCCTGAAATCCACTATGAGCAATAAGAGCAAGCTATCCAGTTAGAGCAAGGGTCCTTTTTCTCCATGATATCAGTTGCATCCTTATCGTATAACCACGTGCGTTTGGGGATTTGCTCTGAATTAACTCATTGGCATCAACAAATGTTATTTTATTTTTAAAAAAATATATGCTGTGGTATTTTTTTCTGGTAAATTTTAACAATTATTTTCAACTAAGGAGCACGCTCCCTGACCACTTCGTGGTGCAACCCTCAGAAGGGGGTTGCGTCTCGCAGGCGTTATGCGTTACGCATTGCTCTAATGATTTCAAACTGCACAGTGAAAAATATACCTGAATATATCCAATTCGTCGGTCATCGTTCAACTCCTCAGTTAAAGTCTTTCCAGTCTGACTACACCCGTTTTCCGTGATGAAGATCGGAGGGTTGTTGTATTCTTTCTTGAGCCAGTTCAAGAGCTCCCTGAATCCCTCGGGCTCGTAGATGAGCCAGAAGGGTCCGGCGACCTTAGATTTCGGATCGAATTCTAAATTCACGCCCGCGTCTCGATCGATGGAAGGGACAGAGACAACATTCGGATCATCCCTGGCCAGGTAGGTCGTGTAGTGGTTGATTCCGAAGAAGTCCGCTGAGCCCTTAAGATCCCGGATCTCTTGGTCTGAGAATCGGGGCAGTCGGGAGTTTAGTCTTCCTTCTTTTTTGCTGTTTTCGTCCACAATGCGCCTTACTACTTCTGGGTAGTCGCCCGTACCGAAAATGGGGTTTGCGATCCATCCTATCTGTAGACAAATTAGAGTAAATCAATCCAACGAGTGGATGAAAATTCCACTATCGAAATATGAGAAAAGTGTAAGACGACCAACGTGCTGATTTTTGAAATTGATAGACAAAGTTGCAGACAAAGACGACAAAAGGGATATGGAGGGTTCCAATTGGTGAAAGCGGATGGTGGCAATGGACATGGGAGGTAGCTAATAGACTGATAACGGCAACCCACGAAAGGCCCGAGTGTTAGTCCAGCATTTACTCCCTTAGTCTATAAGAACCACCCATTTCAACCAATAGGATCGCCCCATACTCCGTATGTCTTCTTTGTTTATCGCTTTGTCTGTCCATTTCAATGATCAGTCCGCAGTGGGCTGATTTTTGAAATTGATAGACAAAAAAGATTTGTAGGCCGCGTTTGCCTTTGTCTATAGCTTTGTCTGTCAATTTGAATAATCGGCCCGCAGATACCAATGCACGGAAGAAACGGATGATACTGTTAAATGGGCCACTTGAAAAACTATTTATTTCGATTTATGTTACCACTTCAAAACTTCACCAAGAAGATGATCCGGGAAACTGGCTGAAATTAATTCTTAACCAAGATGTTACCGTTTTTATTCAGCATTGGGCACGCATTTGAATCTCCCGCTTACATGAAAAACCAGAGACTATACGAGAATCAAATCACGCACTACAACGGTTTTGGCAGGCTCTTAATTGAGCAATGTTCCTCCCCCGCTCAGTGTTGTTCAAAGCGTGAACATCGAGTAAAAGCTGAGCCGGAGCGCAGAAATTGAGGTTGTCAAATTTTCATGCCGCAGGGACTGTTGCAGTAACGTTTTTTGTGCCATTTGTCTCAAGTAGCAGATTATGATTTTTGACATGAGCGGGAAGTTAGAACTTTTACATAAAAAACTTCGTTGGTTAGGGGCTACTTACAATGATTTTTGTTGCACGAATTGAACTTCACGTGGTTAATGAGACTATATAAATCGAATTGCTTCAATTCTGCACCTTTTCTAGTCGTCTCTTCTCCAAGAATCGAGTGATTTTAATTTATTACATTGGCGGATCCAGCAATTTGGCAACACCGGATTTCCTCCATTTAAACCTATGGAAAAGTATCGATTCTTGGAGGGGCCAGGTGCTCCGACAAGAATCGATTATTAAGCATAGGTTTAAATGGAGAAAATCCGTTGCTGCCAAATTGCTGGATCCGCCTCTGATTTATTATCATGTTTTCATTGTTAAAGTTAAATTCCAAAAATGCTTACTCGTATATAAACTGATTTGATCATTAAATAATGTAATGGGAAAATGCGCTCTCACTCACATGAAACTGGAGTAACCGATCACGAGCTTCTTCCTCCGCTGGAGTTTGAGGTCGGTAAAAGAACGTATCCAAACTGATGCCCATTTTGCCTGAAAAAAGGGAATCATAGAGCTTTAACGTCATCAACCATAAAAAACTGTTCCATTCTCAAATCTTCAAAATTTGATAAATAGGAGAGGTTTAAAACCAAATACTTTGTTACTTTATTTCACTGGAAAAAAAACACATTGAATCTAGAGTCCAGACTCTAGAAAACATTGACAAGAAAAAATACTCTTGATTCAATCGGATTTTTATTTGAATCAAAACGAAATCCGCTTAAATTAAGATGCTTGGTTCTTGATTTAAGCTAGATTCTGATTGAATCAAGAGTACTTTTTCTTGTCGATGTTTTTAAGAGTCTGGACTCTAGATCCAATGTGTTCTTTTTCCAGTGTTGTGCAACGAGAAAAGATGGTAATGGAATTATATAGAGAGCCCTGATTGATTGTCATGGTGCAGAACACTTCAAAAAAATTCAATACTTATGATATAATTTATTAAATGTTGATATTTTAATTACTGGACGTAACGCCAAAAAAAATAGTGTGCCCGTATTTGGCATCCGAAAGACTTTAGAACCTAAATTCTTTTTCGATTCGATATGTTATATACTAGGGCCCACGAACGATGATCCCTGAGCCGCGAGTATTTCTTGCAAACACTGGCAACAGCGACACCCCGGCCCGAACCGAGTCTCGAGTTCGGGGACAATGCTGAGCCGAGTCACAATCGAACCCTAATTACTTACGCGTAATTTACAATTTCACCCTCCCGCTAGGAAAAACCAAAATTTGTTGAAAGTTGTGTAACATTTTTTTAGCAAGTGTTTCGTTACTCTCCTTTAAAACACGAGTAAATTGAGGCCTCGTTTATAAAAATCGGTCAAATAGCAGCAAAGTTACAGTTCGAGATACGATGTTATAAATAAAAATTGGACTTCGCTTCAAAAAGGAAAAAGGAGGAAAAAATAAAAATTGTATATAACAATTATATATGATTTAGCTCAGAATTTTACGAGCAATCCAACCATGTAATGGACGAAGAGATTGGGGCAAAATTACAAGAAATTGATCTTTTACGAAAGGGCTTCCTATGAAGAATTTTGACCTGAAGATAGGGGTAGAATAGCAGCAGTTCGCATACAATAGCTTTTCGCGTTCACAATACCCGGTCTCGTCGATGTGCGTGCTCGACCCTGCAGCGTTGCCATTTACATGGTCCGTGCGTTTATTCGCCCGATTTTTCAGGGATCATCGTTCGTGGGCCCTAGTATAGTATTTTCTTTTCAACGAGACCTCACTGATTTTTTTAAGCTCGAATTGTTGCGATAGAATACTGTTTATAGGTTCTGGTAGAACCGAAATAATAGGGCAATTTCTCAAAACTTTCATTTAGCGAATACACACGGGTATGGGAACTCTTCAGAAATTCTTAAGGGTGCTTCATCATAATTTGGAATCAACCTATTGAAATACACTAAATCCAATGTCTTGTGCCGCGCACGGCTCTACTTTTCTGAGGAGTCTTCTGAGAAGGAAAAATTCTGATTCACTGCATGTAAATTTACTTGACACGTTGAAAATTTACCATGCTGATGTGGTCTGAACTGTTTATCGTACATGTGATATACTTTTGCGTGTGATAGCAAGATATGGTGAACGGATAGATATTCAGCGATGCCTGGCATGATGATCCCAGGTGCAAGTTGTGGATAGTTCAAAGACACCTTTGCATAAGCTCCCACGCTGAATAAGCGGGGCTCGTTGTGCGTTAACCATAGTTTTACCTAAAAAGAAATTGGAAAGTACGTATGAAATGGCAAAACTTTGAATTAAAACTGAAAAAAAAATGGTTGAGAAACAGGTTTTAAATTAGAACAAGTTTTTCTTTGATTTACAGAACATTTTTTTGAAGTAAAGAAAAGGGTTTTTTTTTCAAAATTGTTCTACGTGAAAGAAATTTGTTTTAATTCAATTGCATTATTGTATTTTCTTCAATTCGAAGAAATGTAACTTTTTCATCGATAAAAATTTTCTTTGGACTGAAAAAAAAAAAAACTCATTAGAATTGACATGAAATAAAATTTTACGGACAGTGAATCTAATTACTATAGGATGATTTAAGGAACTGCGTTTTTCAAATTCTTAAGTTATTTGACTGAGATTTACGTTAAAAACTATTGACCAATTCCAAAACGATACATTGATACAAAAGTGAAATTTTGAAGGATTAAATGTTGAGATTTCAATTTATAAAGTACAAAAAAAAAAAAAAAAAAAACTTCCATAAAAGGAATCTAAAAACATACACTTCCATTAAGGGAATCCAACCGAGGTATTTCCTTGAAAATTTACGGGAATATTTTTGACGATTGTAAAATATTCACAGAAAATTTCAAGGAAAAATCTTGATTAGGTACCCCCCAGTGGCGTGGCGTGAATTGCGATATATCGATTGTTACGCCATATAAACCTATGGAAAACGATCGATAAACAGAGTGTTCGCAGCGAACACCTTAATAATCGATTCTTTACCATAGTTTTAAATGGCATAACAATCGATATATCGCAATTCACGCCACGCCACTGGTACCCTCATGGAAAATGAAAGGGACGATACACTGCGAGTCAAACATCGGAGGTACGAATTTTCCGACTATAGTCATTGGTTTTTTTTCTTCCTCAATGAAATTTACTCACCTCAACTGACGGAGGTAGTAATTGCTTTTGAAAAAGGATAATAGAGCCTTACTCTGTCCCCGTAGGTTTTCAAGAGTAGATGGGCGAACTCCACGAAATAGTCAACCATGACAGGGTTCGTCCAACCTCCGAGATCTTGCAACGGCTGAGGATAGTCCCAGTGAAACATCGTGACCTGGGAAAAATACATTTTTTTAAGTCACCAACTTGTTTTAAAAACAAATTTTGGTATCTTAATTCCAAACTTTACGCTCAAAGCTTACAAACGTGGTCCGCTATAACATTCCCCATAAGCGTAACGTCTATTACATTAATAATAGATAGTACCTATTTCTAGCTACCATGCGGGAGCTGAACAGGGGGCTTTGTTAGTATCAAGCCCATGTGAAGGACTTGGAGGGCAAGGCGGATAAGTGCGTTTTTGAAAAAATTAAGATATTAATGCTCTCAAGTGAACCTAGTCTTAAAGCATATTCTGTAAAAAATTTGCTTCCAAATTCTATTTTTTAAGCATCAAAAAGTCAGTTTGAACTTTCTTTCCGCCATAAGTATCCATGTAATTTCGAAACTTTAAACACATATTTCTCAAAATACAAAAACTACACTTATGCGCCTTGTCCTCCAAGCCCCTCATGTCTACTTATATTGAGTAATTATCCCGGCACGGTATCTATTATATTTGAATGACAATTATTATTTTTTTGGATTATAAGGAGAGTACGTTATCCACTCATTCCGATTCTCTCCACAGACCCACTCAAGTAAATTTTTATACGCGCATGGTTTTTTGTAAAGTTTCTTTCATACAAATTTACTATTCCAGTATTATATACCTGCCTACTGTGCCAAAAATCTGCTTAAGAAAAAATTAGTTCCATAATCTAACTATGTCTATGACTAATACGTCTCAAGACTTATGGTTGAACATTTTCTCCTCAGCATGTTCTATTTTTCTTGATATATTTGAATAGAAATAAAAGAATGGTAGAATGAGAAAAATTTATCATTAATGACACGTTTTTAAAGATCGGTTTTAATGGATAGACACCGAGCTATATTTAATTCTGATGATAGTTCGTTCGTAATGATACGACAAATATCCTGCATTTGGTTGTCTACGCGATTCTGCGATTCTGAGAAGAAGGACTTTTTTGGATCATCGCAACAATAATGATGTTCAAAATATAGACCTTTAAAAGAGAGGTGGAAAAGAGAGAAAGAATTCATTTACATAACGTGATCTTTCACGTCTGTATTCAAGAAACAATGTTGGCACTGCCGTTATTGATTTGAAGTTCGTAGGGTATCAATTTGGGTCAGATTAATTGGCGGCACAATTTTGGTCGCGTTGTTGCGTTTGTGCGTAGATAAGCATATTTTTTCATGTTTATTTTTCACGGTTTTATTCATCTGAATGCTCCTCACTTTAGGATGCGAGGGGATACATTTATTCCTCTTCGTAAAGAAACGGGTGTAAAGAGGATCTTTATTTATTACACATCGATGGTAAAACTGCAGAAATGTGTAACTCGGTTTGCGGCGTTGCAGATTTCCTATCATACTTTATTTTCTACATGGGTAACTATTGACCTCACTCACTGAGAATTGCAGTCATTTTTCTCTCCTCATGCAGAATATTTTGTGAAAACTTCAAGCCGTGATGTTGGCCCGATCACTTTTTAAAAAATAAAATGTGAGCGGAGATTTCGAAACACCGCAACCAAGATATAAATTATGTATAAGTGCAATTTTACCGAATAGCCTGAGACGCTGAATGTCTTAAAATTATACTAACTAACTAAATTCATTTTTGACACTCGGTATTTTTAGTTGAATGCATGACACTCTAGATCCAATTTTCAAGAGATGCATTCCAGTGGTTAAATCGTAAATTTAATCACAATCAAATAGCCTTGATCGATAATACTTACATTAGCAATGCTATTTATCGATGTTAGTTGTCTTCGATGACGATTGAACAATCCAAGCGCTGATTAAGTCAGCATTTCACACGTCTTAAAGAAGTACCAATAGGAATAGTGCTGTTTGTTTGTACCTTTTTGTCATCAAATGAATTACATTTTGTAATTGTTAACTAAAATTTCCGGATCATCTGTAAACCATCAATGTGTACAAAGGAACCAATAGTCCATACATTGTTCCTAAATTGAGGCAGAAATTGCAGTTCCGAATTGCAAAATGCAGTCCAAATATATACTTTTATCACAGACCTGAAAGTTGGGTAGATGTGTCAAATGCGTGTACTTACAAATGGTTTTATATCTTTTTCCAGCAACAAATCAATCAGACGATTATAATGATCAATGCCAGCTTGGTTTATATTTCTAATATCACCCGTCGGTAATATCCTGCTCCAACTTATTGAAAATCTGTAAAAATCAACCTAGAGGAAAACGATATCAGTCAGTGCTACAGGGTCAAATTTGTTCTTACAACTTGGAAAATTGGAAACAGGGACAGACTTATCTCGTGTATATATCATGCTCACCTAACTTCATAGAGTTTAATTGAAAATAAAACACCCTTAGTTGAAACAGAAATATAGGTACTGAATGTTTAATACGAGATTTTAACAATTCGACCTAAATGATATCAGTCCAATTTGGACTAGGTCTCTCTTTCTCTGCCAAACTCAGTTTATAATCATGACTTAAGATGCGTGGTTTTCAAAATTAGGATAACAGGCATCCTGAGAGATAAAAAACACTTTAATATTTCCATGCGTTTTAAAATCTTTCGTCAGAAAAAAAAAAATTAATACTATTCTGAATATCAAATATTTCAGGCATATTCAAAGTTACTCAAAAACAATGTACTTACCCCTAATTCTTTGAGAAGTTTTACATCCTCTTCTAAGTGATGATAGTTATCCGAGCTGACATCTGCGTTTTCGTACGTTATTCCGTTGACGGGTGTATCTTTACTTGTCTTCACGAATCTGTCAAATGTACTCTCACCTCGACCTTGAAAGGAAAAATAAATGAATAATTTTACAAATGTAAACAGCAAATATTTTCTTTTTATTCTTTTGAAAGTATCGCACAACGGGGGATCATCCATAACCGGAGCCATCTTTTAGCTATTTTCAACGTCCAGTATCTTGCATTGAGTCTTAACATGCCTACAGATAAGACATCAATATTCTCTCCTTCAGTGTAGGTTACCGGGGGGATTTGAAATTGCCTTCAAAAAAGGATGATACCGAACGCACGCATCAACGTTGAAATATTTGTATTCCGAAAATTTACTGCGGCTGGAACAAAAACTTTGCTATTAAAGTCACATCACAGTGCCGTCAGAGTAATCAAAATACTGCAAAGTTTCTTTCACTGTGAGTTACAGCATCATTTGCAGCATTGCGTCATTCTGGATTGAATATTGTGATTGAATCTCGTTTACTAGATAGGCATTTACTTCCGGAAATGAAATCATACATAAAAGAATAGGTGACGCATGGGAGTGCTATCAACACCTGTTGCAGATCTATGTACCTACCAAAATTTTTGCTCATTATCATGATTAAATCCCAATTTGTTTTTTCATTTCCAGCTCGAGAATGAAAATGATGGCGGTGTGAACCTATGACTTGGCAACATAACTGTTTTGTCTCTTTTTCTCAGCAATAGTAAGGTTGGAAGAATTGGATTTATTTCTGCCAAACAGAACTAAGTGCATTAAGACATGAGCCCTGAGACCCAAGAACATATGCATAACAGGGTTCACGTCATGATGCACATAGTTCCGTTTGGCAGAAATACGTCTAATTATCTAGCCATGATTTCTGTCTCCCATCGACTTCAAGGTCACCCGAGGAGTGTTGTGAATAAATTGGAGTTTGGCTTTATGGGTTTTTCTTCGCACTTGCTGAAGAAAGCTCAGCACCATTTTGTATGAGCCCTCCAAAGGGCAAAAAGGGCAAAGAGTGGGGGCTTTAGGGAATCAATTCCTAGAAAAATTGTGAATTATGTCACTGGTAAAAACCTAATTATCAAAATCAGACGCGATATTTACATTGTCCTTTCCTATGGAAAGAAAAGGGGACATTTTACAGAATCGTTTGTCGATATTTTGATTTTACATTTTCAGATTTGTCTAGTGACATTATGACCAAATCAGAGACCAGGACCTCACTATGTGACTTTCAAGTCCCCTAATAATTGATGTAGATACGAAACATGTTTGCTTAATCGGAGTCAAAGGCTGGAGTGAGGGTCCTGGGGTTGGATGGAGGAAAAAGAGTTTTGCAATTTACTATTAGAGTAATTATTCAGTATTCACTCATTGAAAAATAAATCTGAACACATTAAACCCTACCTTTGAAAATTAACGTATTAAAAAAGTCAATCTTACCGTCATCTTTGGTTCCTCCTTCAATTTGATAACTTGCAGAACCGACTCCAATTATGAAATCTTTAGGAAACGTCCTCCAATCGTCTGCCATGTCACCTGAGAAAGCAATAATATTCGATTGCACTTAAAAACACTAAACTTCTAAAAATGATTAATTTAGCTCAAAATTAGTAAATCAAAGTTAGATATTATGTCCATGCCTTTTAACACTAATTCACCTCAGAGATTTCTCTGGAAAAAGCCAAGCTCGTAATATGTACAGAAAAAAAGAAGGAGAAGCAATTGAGTGAAACCAATTGCAAGGTGGTACGAATGTTTTAAAATTATTTAAAAGTTAATTGATAATGTTCCGTGAATTTCTTTCTTCACACGTTTTTTCACCACACGTGCTCCAACAAATCAGTTCTACTTAGTGTCCCGATCGATTACTGTGTGCAAATTCACTTCTAAACTTAAATTATGAACTTTTCCTCCCAAAGATATAAGGAAATCGTCGCTTTAAGAAAGGAGCATGATGACGAGAATCGTTCAATTTCTGAAACACACGTGCCACTCGATCCATTGTACACTTGTGAATACTGTGTTGGAGTGAGACGAGAGTAAATAATCATTTATCTTCCTCGGTTGGTGCGGTACCCGCTAACAAATTTTTTTTCCTGGCATTAATGTTAAGCTCCCCCACCTTGGGTTAAATGTATACTTTATGTCATTGTTTACATTCCTTTAGAGCGGTCTTAAGTAGCTTCCCCCAAAAAATTGGTATGCTAGTAATCCGATACTTCATTTAACAGTGATAACATCGACTCTTGAGAGGTTCGTTTAAGAGGTAAGACATCCGAGGTACCTACTTGTGGTTAAACTTTAAAGTCAGTCAAGCGTATTATTCAGTGATAGAGCATCACGTGTCCAATTCAATTCCGCGCTGGATAGTATTGTTTTAAGTAATTTTAATATTGACCAAAAAATTAAATGGCCACGTTTATTTGAACTTTGATTATCTCGTAATGATTGACGGTTAAAATTGGTCACAGTTGGTAGTTTGAGCTCTCCATTTAACGATGAAAAAAACATTTATCGTAGTTGGATGAGTTAATTTAGTATAATTTATCTTGAAATATTTCCTCTCTTATTTTTAAAGATCTAAAGTGCGAAAAACGTCTTCCATAAGGATATGCACTTTTTTGTTAATTCATAAAAAGTGAAGAAAATGATAACGACGGATTCATTAAAATGTACTTAGTGATTTATACGATTTAGTCCTGATTGATGTTTCTACAATAAGTCGATAAGCTAACAGGAAAATGGTCAAAAATGAAAAATGGAAATGAAAAACGAAAAAATGTCACCCTATTTGTCCAATCAGGTATTTAAGGAATCTGTAAAATCGAAAAAATCAGCAACTTTCCGTTGTCCTTTGCTCTTTCTTTCGAGGAACATCTGTAGAATATCTGTGGCGCGAGTACGAGACCACGTATCTCCGTTTTCAACGTTGCAGACTTCCTGTCGTAATTTGTTTTTGCTTTAAAAAAGTAGTCAACGTACTTTCTTATAAAATTTCATGTTTTTTCTTCTCTGTCAGCAGAATATCACGTAAAAATCTTAAGTTATAAAGTTGGCTCATTCCTCCCAGGAAAAGAAATAAAATAGGGGTGGACATTTTGTAACTTTGCAAAAGTGATACTCTGGTATGCACCTTTGTCATCGATGTGTAGTGTGTACCCTCTAAAATGTTTAAAATCGATTTTAACATCTCAAGCGCTGATCTAAGTAATCCACTTGAAGAAATGGTTTATCTTTTTGCCTCATTGGCATAGACGAGACGTGCAACATTTGTGTGCCTCTTACCTTTTGATGCATGATTAGCATTCCGACCCGAGAGGTATAAAGTCAGAAGGAGGGTAGGAACGATGAAGAAGATAGAGGAGCCTGAAGGCATGGCACCTGCACCACGGCGTTCCAAACGCAGGAATCTGATCATTCAAAAAATTGCACATGCAAGCATGCACTTTCCACCAGATAAAATTGCAAAAATTCTAGGTAAGGAAAAGAAGATGAAATGCTTGTAGACTGTGAAAGAGAAGAGAAAGAGAAATTTACAAGTATGAAATCTATGTGAAACGCGAAAAAAACGATTAAATTTTGGGGATAAATTTGAAGTACATTTCAGTCCAAAGCCTATCTTGCACCCAAACGACCGGAAAGATATGTGGAAGAAGCGAATTCTGCTCCTTTTTGCAAAGTGAACTCCTCACTCACAGAGTGAGATCAATTCTTTGCGCGGATTAAACTTTTTGCTCTTGCAATGTGAATTTAACTCTTTTTTCTTATCAATTGGGTTGTTTTAGGGGAGGGGGGGGGCAAAATAGGCTCTGGAGTAAGGTGCATTCTGGATTTTACTCCAAAGCTTCTGACAGTAAGTCCGAATATGAATGATAAATGCATACGAAGAAAAAAACTTGAGGGCTGTTTTTTCAGTGGACTGATTAAGTGATTCATGCTTTTGTATTAACAGCTCGAATGAAAGAAGAGAAACAAAGCAAATCAAGGAGGAAACCTAAACAGATATGTTTTTACATCATAAAGGAAAAACGAAAATCGGATAGTTTTCATTTCTCGTCAAAAAATGATATTCTGATACAGTTGAAGTCCAAATTGGAAATATTTTCTGAAATAAAATACAATGCATAATGCAATAATATAATGCACCATGCATGAGTACCCTCCAACACTGCAAAAGGTTCTCTTAATCGTACATAGTTATGCTCTTGAATTAACTTTTTATCACATGAACAAATGAAGAAGACTTGAAAAAATTGAAATTAAATATTTTTGATCGAATGATCTGTCGATTTTTTTCACGTATTTTATAGATTTTTGGGGAAAATACCAATTTGCCTGAAAACTTTCTAAAATTTTTGTTAAAAGTGCACGAGTAGATCCTACGAATGAAATGAAGGACGTGCGTAGAAGATAAGTCTCCGTGCAAATTTTGAAGGAAGGACAACTTTTTACGCAGCTCCTCCGCCCATACTATATCAACAATAGATACGTAAATGCTAACAAAGTGTAAATAAAATCAGCGTAAGATTTTATGCGTGGTTTATCCTGTGCAAGACGTTGGATGGTGGTTTAAGTTGAGCTTTGTGTTAAGCCTGTACATTACGCAATATCTTATGCGCTCACATTCAGCTCTACATTTTAAGAAGTGTGCTCAGTGATAGTCTCAAACGCGATGATAAGACAGCGCCCAGGCTCTGATCTTGACATTGATTTTTGAAATTGGTTCAACGAGTTGAAGGCGCTTTATTTATGAAAGATGAATGGATTTGTGACATGCTTTTATGGGTTCCCTTGATACAAGATGATAGTATGTTAGCAGAAGAATCACTGAAAGAGAAGCTAGAAAATTTATTTAATATTCCATAAGTACGCATTTTATGCCACTCTACAGCTCTGCTTGAGTGATTTTTTCTCCGGATATCATCAACCAGTCGTACTATCAAGAATGAGATATGATTGACGTTCCACAGCCCAAGACAAGATATAGACAATAAAAAACAATTTAAAAAGCGGGTAGCTTAAAAAACTTTTCGGCTGAAAACTCAGCCTTCCTCAATAATTGGGTATAAAATAGTAAAAGAAAAATGGTAAAAATCTAAAATTGTGCCTGGCTGTACCCTTCAAAGTGGTTTTCATAACATATGGCGTAACATCATGACATAAGTGGGTTATTTCATGATAGGCACAGATAGTTACTATTTTAGATTTTAACCATGTTTCCTTTTACTACTTTGTCTAACTGAGGGAGGCTGAGTTTTCAGCCGAAACGTTTTGGTTTTATTCGTAAAATTAGCTTTGTTACCCGCTTTTTAAATTGTTTTTATTGACTATCAAGAATATGACGTTAAGATCTATTTTTAGACCTCATCTATCTTCCTTCACTGTAGTATTGTCTTATAACCATTGAAAGTACTAGTTAACTTATTCATTTGTAATTTTCAAATTCGACCACGGGTTGCATACTCACTCGTTTGAAGGCAATTTTTGAGCTCTCACTAGGAGCAAACTTTAAATAAGTAGGCCGGCAGACGAAGTATGATTTGTTTAAACGGAAAAACTACTGCGTCAATGTCCTCAAAACATCTTTATCTGAAGTAAGGCATAATTCATGAAAGAACGAGTTAAAAAAATCTGGGAAACAAGATCAAGCGTTATTTTATTATGTTTTTGGGTGTAACTAACTAAAAACAACACGATTTGCAGCGATTGTGAGATGCCAAGGTGTGAACAGTTCAACGCCAAAAAAGCTGGTTTTGAAAAGTACGCATTGACAAAAGATTCGAAAAAATATGAAATTCGTTTTAAAATTCTCAAACATTGTGCGCCTTTCAGAATATTTTGCCCTTAGGCGACAGTTTATGTAGCTTAATGGGGTATCCGGCCCCGATTATTGTCAAGAGGTGATAGAGTGATGGCTATAGCAATCTACATAATGATCAAATCTTATCATAACTTACATATATTTATGCTCCTTTAGGCGTACTGTTGAATCAAATAAAATCCACAATTTTTTTCCACAATTCTAACGTGCCGAGTCCGGCAAACAAATCAACACAGCAGCGCGACTCCGCCGCACTGATTGTGGAGACGTTGTTTTGACGCTCAGTAAAGCAGTTGTCCTTCGTACTTCACCTTCGCTTTCACTTGTGAGCCCGACCTACGGTTGGCTGATTCACCATTGAGAATCAGCCGGTATCTGATTGTAAATAGCCGCTCTTCGCGTTACGGAAATCACTAGCGTTGCTTAGCAACGCTATCAGCTTTGTCTGAAACAAAATGATATCCCTCTGATCTAAACTAGTGCTCGACTGACAGTCTTAAATCCTATGAGGCGGTAAGTAAATGTGTGGATTTTTTTTTTAATTTTATGGTGCGTAATTGAGGACTTTTTCGATAAAAGGGCGTATGAGACTTGCAATGCTGCTGAGAGTGTGCAATTTTTTACAGCGTTTGTGACTGTTAAAATTAATTCACAGTTAACTTACTCCCTTACGATAGGGAGGAAAAACTTGGTGCAGATTTATTGAAAAACTCAGCAGAACTGTCAGATAAGTTACTTACAACTAGAGAAGTTCGTTGCACAATCTTGGCAGCATTAGAAGTCTCATACGTCCCTTTATCGGAAAATGTCTCAATTGATCGATGGATTAGTAAAATTCAATCAGAATCAGCCTATCGGCATTTCACATTGCCCAATACCTTCTTATATTACATTGGTCCCATTTGTCAACAAAAGGCAGATAGGTTGATACTGTTTAATTGGGTCATTTACTTGGACAGCATTTACAGGAAACAGGAGCCATTTGAGATGTCTTAAAAATCGAGTAAAGGATGAATTTTATACTTATTTATGTTCAGACTTTAATTTTTCTTTTCTTGCCCATAAAATCTAGCGCCCGATAAGAATACCTGGTCTGCAAAAAAGAGATTTGAGGTCTGTTTAATGAATTAATGCTGATTAAGAAGGGTAGCTCCAAATTCATTTTTCTCCACTCAAAGTCCATGTCACTTGGTTTCCTTAAAACGCCTCAAACACCCAATTGAGACGGCTCTTTGGACTAGTACCTTGGTCGTTTATTGCTACCTTTGAATGAAAAAAAAAATGGAAAAAGAACGGCAATGGTTCCGAGACTCCTGACTACACACGATCCCAAGGAAAACTTTAACTATGTACCAGATGTCTTTAATCGTCTGAAAGACACTTGAACGTTTGGGTAACATAACAGACATCTCGTACACCAAATTGTGAGGGGTTTGTGGATAATCAGGAATGTTTTCTCCTTTGCCATTATTTACGTGCCCGTTTTTAGCATCGAAGAATTTTTGAGGCCCAAAAGTTGTTTCTCGTATGCATTTTATTAAGAAACTGGCATTGATGTCAAATTAGGCGCAAATTAGAAGTTAAGATAACAATTGATAGTGTTTGCCTTATCTTCAGGAGCAGAGATTGCAGGTGCAGGAACACCTCCTTGGAAGGAGAGTCCAATATGAGTCCTCTGCACGCGGTGTGTGTTGCTCAATTTAGAGATTGATGATATATTTGTTAAGTTTGCTAATTGCTGAAACTCCAAAGTAAATGTCATTTAAGTGCTCTGAAAGATAAGAGAAGTATTAGACGTAGATAGAAAATTCAGGGACAAACCGTCTTGGTTGCCCAAATGTAGAAAAACAAAAACAAAAAACTCAAGACAACATGTGAGTATTGTAATGTTCGTATCTTCTCGTTAAGTTTTATGTGAGATGTCCAGATTTATAAATCGTGGGGTAGCAAGACAGCTTGCTGTGGCATTTACAGGTAAGTCTACAAGGATAGCTTCTTCCGATTTTTCAAGAATGAAGCTCGTTACTTTTCATTTAAGATAATCAATGGACATACTACTCGCACAAAAGGCATGGAGCTTGCTGTAAATTGCTCAAGAATATATTGAAAAACTGTGTATATTAAAAGTTAAAAATGTACTTGGAGAACCATAGGAGGAAGTGTATCGAATAAAAACGTTTTAATTGAAGGTATGGGGGGTACTTTTGACAGTAAAAGATGACCTCAAGAAGCCTGAAGTATACTCCGTAACACACACTTTGCGTAACCTGTAACTCGATTTCTAATGACCTATTACCATGGGTACTTTTTCTTCGTTTCTGGCAGCCAGGATTTCCTGAGGATTAAAGAAAACCTAACCTTAATATACCAACAATCTTGCATACGGTTTTGAAGTATTTTATACCCATGATTCCAGTTATTTTTAAGCTTGCGTATTTTATGTTCCCTATGAGCTACTAATTACTTAAATTTTCCTTTCAATCATTTGTGTTACATCACGAGAACCACGAAAGTATCACTGTTTAAGTGACAAAACCACTTTTAAGCTCATCAAAGATGTTTGGTTTTAAGATTGCGCATGATCTTGATTCAAAATGGGAATTGATATTGAAAGCGATTCTATCCCTTGATAACAGGAGCAACCTCTACCGTTCGTAACCTAGCGTACCTACCGCTCTCAACTCGTCGAGGCGAGAAAAGTTGAAACGCCTTCAATTGTTTTCTAGGCAACATGGACATCCTAAGAGCGGCAATAGTTGCATCCAAGCGTTAGCATATATGTCTTGTGTTTATCGCCTGAAACGCTTCCTGTCATCACTTTTTTGTTTTATCCTGTCGAAAGACGTCATCAAGACACTTTTTTCACTTTTTTAAAGACACACTTTTTCTCAATAACTAAATGAGTGATTTGTTATACTATTGACACTGATGCGAATAATGAAATAATCCGTGATTAATCGGTAAGAAAAAGTTCTCGGCGTAACACCCGAAGCAGTCGAAGCTACGACTCTAGCACCCGGAACTTTCGGCCTCTGAGCCCGCGGAACGGACGGTAAGTCTATATAGCCCGTAACTTTTTTTCAGGACGAGCACATCCCATCTTTCTCACCCGTCTCTAATTCCTTTTAGCATAAGTACGTTCAGTTCCCTCTGAAATTGTGTTTTTACAGCCGGCGGCTCCTGTTTCATAATCGGCGCGCTGATGGGCTGGCCGGCGCCCACACTGAAAAAACTCCGAGCCGCGGACACGCCAATCCGGTTGTCCGTCTTGGAGGAGTCCTGGGTGGTAAACGCCCTCTACTTGACCACCATGGTGAGCCCGTTCATGTGCGGGGCCCTCATGAACTCCTTCGGCCGGAAACTCACCCTCCTCGCGCTCACTGTTTTCCCGACCCTCTCCTGGATCCTCGTCTTCTTCAGCCGGTCGGGCGCCATGCTCATCGCGGCCCGCTTCCTTGCCGGGTTCTGGGTTGGCGGTTGCTCCACTGTCGTCCCCATCTACGTCGCTGAGATCGCCGAGCCGGCGGTTCGTGGCGTTGTCGGAACTTTTACCGCGGTAAGACGCCCTTTTTTCAAACCGCTAACCACACGTTGATTATCAACTGGACCGAGTTTATCGGAAAGGAACCAACCCAAATTTTCGAAAATATTGGGTTAAGAATTTTGTAGAGGCCGGCTAGGTTCGCCAAGTGGTCAGCGCGTCTGGTCTAGGTCAACAGGTCCCGGGTTCGAATCCCGGTGGTGGCGTCTAATTTTCACGGAAATTGACGAGTAGATCTGCTAAAACAGATTCTCCTCGGCCCTAATCCCTGAAAATTGGAAAAGCCTGAAGCATCGAAATCCCACGATGTCTACGGACACTAAACATTGTCTAAAGTTGGCTGAAGGTGCTTGAAACAAAGCCATTAAACCAGCGGAAAAAAATAATTTAGAGCTCCACTAGCCGTATATTTTCTCCTGCTAAAAACTGAAAGTCGGTAAACAGAGATAAGTTTAAGAAAAGAGGGGTTAAAGTTCATTTTACATAGAAAAAAGTATTCTTTGTGTTCCTAACGTATTTTTCCGCATTGCAACGAGATCGTTCTATAATTCATTTTTAGAGCTCGTTTGTCTTTCTTAAATTTGCTATGATTAAGCCGCTAAACCCGATTCTGCCACCTCCTACAAAATTCAAAGCCTTTTTCTCACGGAAGTTTCAAAGCTTCAATATCTTGTTTCAGAGTTCAAATAAAGTCTTCGGCCGGAACTTTAAACGCGAGTTTTTAGGCAAGTTCTCCGAAAACCTATTAAAGGAGGGGTATCGATAAAGACCGTTTTTGGGCCCACCTTAACTGCATTTCCTCAATTCTATCTAATTCTCTGCTTATTGAAAGTACTTATTTTACGGAATACATCATGATTTGGTCAGTTTTGGACTCTTTCCGGGTCAATTACTGGCCTAAACATAGGTAAGAGGGCTAATTTTGGCGAAAAGTTCCGATTTTTTGGCATATCAACGCGAACCCATATTTCCTGCCAAAAAGACCCATGGTTAGGTCGGTGTTTGACCTGGAATGAGACCAAAAATGACCAAACCATAATGCATTTTGTAAAATGGAGACCTTCAGTGAGGAAAAAATGGTAGAGTTGAAGAAATTCAGTTATAATGAGCTCAAAAACGGCCCTTATCGATACCCCTCATTTTGGTCCATGTCGCTACCTCTTCTTTAAATGAAAGCGTAAAAAGCACTGGGAAAAGAAAACACATTGGATCTAGAGTCCAGACTCTTAAAAACATGAAAAAATACTCTTGATTCAATCAGATTTAAGCTTAAATCAATAACCAAGCCTCTTAATTTGAGCGGATTTCCTTTTGATTTAAGCTTAAATCTGATTGAATCAAGAAACCTTTTTCTTGTCAATGTTTTCAAGAGTCTGGACTCTAGATCCAATGTGTTTTTTTTTCCAGTGAGAGGTGATCGACTCGGGTTCAGAAGCCTCCAACCAGAGGCGGGTCCAGCAATTTGGCAACACCGGATTCTCACCATTTAAACCCATGTCAAATAATCGATTCTTGTCGGAGCACCTGGCTCCTCATCCAAGAATCGATACATTTGCATAGGTTTAAATGGAGAAAAACAACGTTGCCAATTTGCTGGATCCGCCAATGCCTCCAACAGCAGCATTGAGGAGCCTTTTCTATTTGCAGCCATGAAACCGAGACATGTTGTGACAGGTCAGCACGATGCTGGGCATCATATCCGCCTACGTCATCGGACCCTGCGTCTCCGTGTACACGATGGCCGCCATCTACGTCGTCACTCCGGTGCTCTTCTTCGCTCTCTTCTCTCTCTGCCCGGAGTCGCCGTACTTCTTCGTCATGCGGGACCAGCACGTGGCCGCTGCCGCCGCCTTGACGTGGCTCCGGGCCAGGGACTCCGTCACGGCGGAATTGGCCGCCATCCAGGGCTCCGTTGAGAGGGACGCGCAGACCCGGCAGGGATGCCTCCGCAAGCTCTTCAGCCTCGTCTCCGTTTCCGCCAATCGCAAGGCTTTCGTAACCGTCGAGTTCATGATGGTGTTGCAGAGGTTAGTTTCAAATGGACGTATTTCTGCCAAACGGAACTAAGTGCATTATGACGTGAGCTCTGTTATACATTTATTCTTAAGGGTCTCAGGGCTCATGTCTTAATGCATGTAGTTCCGTTCGGCAGAAATACGTCCAAATGATCTTATTTAGTTGTATGATCCAGCTAGAGTATGTATATACGGAGAATACGAGGTTAGGTTATGGAGCTTTGTGGCCCGAAAGGGTAGCGAGCCTATGAACTCGAATTATCCAAACTGATATATTATTACAGTTGTTACAAACCGTCGTTTGCAATACACGCATATGACTTAGTTTTAGTATACATTTACCCATTTTTGCAGGGGGACTCCTATTATCATAACATTAATAATTATAACATTATTAACCATTTTGGTTTGATAAAGGTATCTGAAGATTGGCAGCGGCATTTTTCTAGAGTTAGAAGGTTGGCTGCCCCTTTGGACTCTGATACGTCCATATTTTAAATGTCCATACTATATTCTCATCTAGGTACTCTATTTAAGCGGGCTTATTATTAAAATTGAAGGGCAAGGGCATGAGTGGAAGCAGGACCTTATCGGGGGAGGGGGGGGGACAGAAGGGCACTTCATCAAAGGGGTTCGGGGGCTTAAAAAGTCATTGTTGAATATCTCATTTCTGGCTAATGAGCTTCAGTTGATAGAGATTGTTTCTGTGATGAAGCATTTCAATTTCACATTTTTTAGCATTAAAATTAGAGTATATATCGGAATGTGTGCTCAAAATGTGAACTTGGTATTATTGTGTTGCGCAGACATTGAATTCAAGTTAGGAATCATGATAGAGGATTTTTCTCAAGGCGACATTTGTTCGCATGCTCAGCTCCTTAGAACGCATGTCTGAACGCGTACGCGACGCCTTCAACTAGCGAGGTGGGCAAATGTCCATGCCGGCGATACTTCATTTTCTTGTTTTTAACTAATTTAGTCCATTTCCTATTTGACAGAATGTCCGGCTTCAGCTGCCTAATGGCCTATTCTTCCGTCATCCTCCCCTCCAAAGTGGGTCCCTTCACGTCAGACAACTGCACCCTGATCATGGGGATCGTTTGGCTGGGCTCAGCTCTGATCTGCTCCGTCCTCGTCGACAGGGTCGGCCGCAAGCCTCTCCTATACTTCTCCAGCATCGGGATATTCGTATCCATGCTCCCAACATCCCTGTGGTACTACCTCGACCGAGAGACCTCGACGGACGTTTCAGGGGCGAACTGGGTCCCTTTGGCGGGCGTCCTGATCTTCGGCCTCACTTTCACGATGGGCCTCGGCGCCATCCCTTCGATTTACCAGGGAGAGATGTTCTCCAGTAGCCTCAAAGGGATAGGCTCCGCCTTGACGGTGGGCGTCTGTGCTGGATCTTCGGCGTTGAGTGTTTCCGTGTTCGCGGTTTTGGTGAAATTCGTCGGGCTGTACGCGCCGTTTCTCCTTTTCGCCGCCGTTGGCCCGGCTACGTTTTTATTCGTGTACTATTTTGTGATGGAAACGAGGGGAAAATCTTTACAGGCGATTCAGGATGAACTGAGGGGTGAGGAATTGGATCGATGATTTCGGAAAAGGGCCATCTCCAAAATGTTGATCAATTGGACTAAATTTTGCAATTTGGAACTATAAATTCTAGCCCGGTTGAAAAACAACGTATGTGCCATTAGTTTCCCTATGCACATAAGTATTTTCCGGAAGAGCTAGAGCTGTTTATTGTTCCCAATTGCAAAATATAGTCCAATTGGACGTATTTCTGCCAAACGGTACTATGTGCATTATGACATTAGTCCTGGGACCCATAAGAATATATGCATAACAGGGCTCGAGTCATTATACACATAGTTCCGTTTGGCAGAAATACGTACCATTCGTAGTTTCCCGAACGAAGGAAGGTGAATCCAGTCCATGGTTGCAAAATTGACTCAAATAATTAAAATTGCTACCTGCATGTATCCGCGCGATTTTTGTCCAACATTTTCCTGATATTTGCATGAGATCAGAAGAAAAATCAGTGACACGGAAAAATGCCTGAGATTCTCTCAGTAAAAATACGATTTGCGAGGGGAAAGTTGACAATATTGAAATGTAGTTACGCTCTTTTGTGAAGGGAACGGTAAAATGAATCCTTAAGGGAAGTGCACTCCTGGTGGATGGGCAAAACAGCCCCTAAGCGCTTGCAGTTACTCTTTCTGTTAAGCATCCTTTCATTAAAGGTCCAATTTGCCCATTTACCTACTCCCCTTCGCGAAAATCCCCAGTCTCGAAATTTCATTGACTCCTCAATTTCTAGACGGATTTTTTGCCTATCTGATAAATTTAACAAAATAGGATTGGTCCCTTTTTGAAATGATTGATTCAATTGAAATACTTGTCAACATCACAAATGGACGGAGTTAAACAGAACGGAACCAAGCCACATCGGGATCGAACCAAGAAAAAGAGGTTTAAAGTTTGGCTCCTGCATAAGACTCAATGTAAAAGATAAACTTGAAGTTCTGTTTCTGCAAAATTTGCTCCAACAAAAACTTTGAATTTTTGGCGTTGGATAGTAGAGCAGTGGTTGAGTTCAAAACCAGTTATAACTCAATTTTTTCCAAAATGTGGGTTGGTTCCTTTCTGCTTAACTCAGTCCAAATAATACTCGGAATATGAAACTGCTGCAACCCTACCCCGTCGCAACTTGTCGCAATTTCTCAATGACCGGTGTAAAATTTTGTTGGCAATTTTTTTTTCTTGCAAATTTAACGTTCATCGTTCAATAAGCTGAAACTGCACTGATGGCCAATTGGAAGCCCTATGGTAGACATAAGTGCAATTAATTATGAATCATCTCATGTATTTTTAAGTGGGTCAGTTTTTCCGTAAAAATTAGACCTCAGCCACAACTGTTTGCAATCTCAGGGTTGCTCTTCTAGCTGCCTACATAATGGCATCAAGTGACAGACATCTTTTCATTTCAGATAGTATTTTTCTTTATGCAGGCTGGAGTGCCCACCTTGTGTTCTCTTTTTAATCTAGTTAAAAGCAGTGGCGTGGCGTGAATTGCGATATATCGATTGTTATGCCATTTAAACCTATGGTAAAGAATCGATTATTAAGGTGTTCGTTGCGAACACCCTGTTTATCGATCCTTTTACATAGGTTTAAATGGCATAACAATCGATATATCGCAATTCACGCCACGCCACTACTGGTTAAAAGGTTTTCAAAGACGTTAATGAAGAGAGTAAATAAGATTTTAGAAATTGAACTAAAAACTTATAAAAATGGGTGTAAAGCACGCGAATTGAACCTTTTGACAGGGATAATCACTAGGATCTGCCTAAGTTTGATTAATTCGAGGAAAGGATTCAAAAAGAGGAATTCGAAGAGTTCTAAGATTTCAATAACACTCTCCGAGCAGTATAACAATTTTATTTTGGAGGGTGATGCAGACATTGTAGAAAAAATAGGTACAATTTTCTTTACTATATACTGCCTTTTGCCCAAGAAGCACAGATTGCGGTGAATTGCAATTACATGGTAAAATGATTGCTTTTGGGTATGTACGTTGCCTCTTTACTGATTGTAGGGACATCTCTCATTGTTCAATGCAATAGAATTGATCTAAGTTTCAATTTTGTTTCGCATTGTAAATTTCCTAACGTATGAAGCTTATTGATCGTTTAAAATCGGGATGCATTGAGCAAATAATAATATAAAATATTGCAATTTGGAGGTAAAAAAATGGCAATTTAATTACGTAAGTCGCATTTTTATTTCAAAATTTGCATTGCTTCTTGGTACTTTGTACTTACTTAAGAGATAATTTTAATTATCTCTGCAGTGAAGGTCTTTCATTACATAATAACATTTAATGTTATTCGCTCAATCTACTCTACAAACCCTTAGGTCAGTTTTGTATGTTCTGCTATGTGAAAATCAAACTTTCTCACCATTAGTTTTCAAGACATTGAATGCTAATATTTTATACCAAAATATATATTATGAAGATTATAGATTCAAAACGGAGGTTGAAGTATTTTATTTGAAGTTCATTAATACTCCATTTGGAATGCATCTATAGATAAGTTGAATGAAATAATGATAACACTGGTTGGATTTTTCTTGAATACTTTATTGTTCGTTACATCAGTGTAGCTCTTTGTTCACAAGAGTTAACGATGTTTATCACAAAAAACCGAAGGAATATCAGTTCATACTTAGTAAATAAATAGGATACATTCTATCTAACCTCGTTTGTGATTTAATTCTGACGATGAATCAGGCTACGCATATGCATATTTGCTGCGTTTTGAAGTATAAAAGGAACTACATCTATTCTGGCATGAGCTCTGAAATAAATTAGAATATATGCATGACAGAACTCATGTCACAACAGACATAGTTCCTTTCGATGAAAATGCTTCCCTAAAATGCGGATCTATAGTACCTCGATTCGTCAGATATATTTATTGTACTTACTATGACACGTAATTTGAACGCATTTACGATGTTAGTGTACAAAACATTTGTGATTCCAAGTAAACATATCTTTTGCAAATAAATTCTCTCAGATGACGAATAGAATAGAGTTTAAGTTGTTTTTACCTGCAAGTGCAACATGGAAGTATACAGGGATTCTTGTTCCCACAAAAATGACGAGATAAAACGGGGAATCATTCCCTAATTTTACTGCAATATTGATGTGGAGAAATATTAATATTTACAAGAAAGAATAAATAATTTTCTTAGTGAGCATCAATTGTGACTAAAATGAAAAGCTCAAGTTTAGATTTCGTGAACTTAAATGACAAGCAGATTTTACTTATATCTATAAAAAATCGCCACCAAATCTGAGCTTGAGTTTTTTCAATGTACTCACTATGAATCAAACTCACAATCAGTCCTTGAAGCCTTAGGTAAGTCAGTCTCAGTGGTTACGCTGCTGCATTCTTCGGTAAAGTTCTCGGGTATATTTTGACCGGATATCCATTTTTACTTCGGGCCAGCAAGTCTATTTTCAAGGATATATCAGATAATTTACACGTTGTCTCGGCTCTGAAATTCCTGAGGAATGTTGACATGACAGTTTTCATCGACAGCATGGCATATTTAGATCCTGAGGAAAGAAAAACGAGTTGACGAGTTAGAAAATAAAAATGTGCCTATCGTAAAAAAATTTTGTTTTCAAATCGGGTTGACACCGGAGCTCATAAAATTGTCCTAATTAACTAAAAATATTTCAATACTACGATACTGTATGATATTCTTTGCTTAATTTCCAAATACATACTAATAAGTAATCATGGACATTCTGATGAATGAGCTATGCCGGTGAGTAAATCAGTGAAATTTTGCTGATGCAACAAGAGAGGGGCTGTGACTGTGGACGTCTCAAGTACCAAATACAGGTCAGCAAGTATTTTGATGAGCACTTCTTTCCTCGTGTAACTCATTCAGTATTATAACGGTGGTGAAACTCCCAAACGACGTATCTCGGTTTGCGACTTTGTAGACTTCCTGCTATACTTGACTTTTCAAATGGGAAAACTACTCAAAGTCAATTATTGAGAACTTCCGTGATTTTTCTTCACTATGCGAAGGAAAATATGTGAAAACTTAACGAAATAATATTGATTTGGTGCCCTTCAAAAAAATAAAATGAAATGGGAATGGAGATTTACAGACACCACAAACAAGATACGTGGTCTGGTAGTTTCACCGTCGATAAGTAAACGTCTTTCAAGATTGCTCTCTTCCTCATAGTAATATTTCGACACATTATTTCCTCATTTTGCCACGTGAAAATTGAACAAAATCCGAACTCTGATAAAATTTTGAACTTTTACTGCTTGTCAGTTCAAGTCAGATTTTCTTATGATAAAATTCGACCCTCAGGATGAAAAACAAGAAAGAGAAATATGAGCGCTCTGTAAAATGGAACAAGCCCATTTCTCAGATGAGCCCTTGGCTAGGTAAGGTTAAGAGCTTTGTGGGGCTCATCTAGAAGATAAACTAATGTCCTTTCAGGAACAACCTATTCATTTATGTAAAATAATCATAACTCACCGATGCATCCTCGAGGTCCTCCACTGAAAGGAATAAAACTGTATCTATGGCGATTTCTGACGCTCTCCTCCGAGAAGTTTTCGGGATTGAATTCATGCGGATTTTTGTATAAATGAGGCAGTTTATGCGTTTTCATCGGGGAAATTAAGACTGAGGTTCCTTTGGGGAGCACGTAATTTCCTGGAATCAGTGATGTGTGCTAATATTAACAAATCAATCATTAATATTTGATACAAGGGCAAAATAAAATTATAAAATAACATCAATACAACATGCCAGAAAATTTATTTAAAGTAGATAATTATTACATTTAATTGAAATATCGGCGCACGATAGTTATTTTTCATTACATTTTCAACATTTATATATTGCAATTTTAAATGAAAGAAGGCGAAGAATGAGAGATCCTATGCAATTGTGTATGGTTTGCAATTAAAATACGCAATTTTTTCATTCTTCCCACACATTTTTATTAAGATAGGAGGAAATAAAGTAGAATCATTATTTAGATAATTTTTCATGAAAATACTTGTACTTACGGATAGGAATATCATCAGCTGCCTCTCGAATGAAGATGGGTCCAGGAGGGAACATTCTTAACGTTTCCTTTAAACATTGCTCCAGATATGTCATTCTGCCCAGATCATCCATGGTGCAGTCTCTGTCACTTTCACCAAATATGCTCACTTGTTCCGCGTACGCCTTGTCCTGAAAATATCCGTAAACTATGTAAACTTTCAATTCGTTTTGGCTTCAAAAATGAGAAATAAAACCAAAAGTACGATATGCTCAATTTATTTATATTTTCTTATCTGATAAATTTGTTATTATTTTTTAAAAGTTTTATAAGGCGTTATATCTGGAGGATACTGCGGCCTTAGAAGCGTTGCTTAATAATTTGTGTTATTAAGTTTTGAGAAAAATGAACCATTCTTGGAGCGACACTGGTGTCATGAAGATGCACATTCAACGATATTTGCATACTTTCAATGATTAAATTTTTTGTTATTGATGAATTTCTTTTGGAGGGTTCGCTGTAACTTTTTACGTGCAAATGATATGTTTTTAGTTTGTTGGTTTCTTTATCAATTCACGCTGAAGTCCCACTACTAGTTTGTATGTCGAGCAGTCTCTGGAGGTACCCAAGCCTTACTTTTCTCCGAATTGAAGAACGCCTCTTTTCAAGACAATAATCTAGGATGTCAACGCTATACGCTTAAATTACCTGCAGTTCCGGATACATGGCCAGCATTAAGGTGCAGAAGCAGTTTGTGATTGCACTGGTTTCAGTGCCCTGAAAAAGGAACAAATTCCGTCAACAATCATGATCATGCAAGAGGGAAATCAAAAGACCTGAGGGGAAAAGAGGACATTTTAACGGAATCTATTAAAAATAGAACGCATGGGAAATCGCCAAATCATCTGTAGCACTTATAAATAATTTCCCTGGAATTCCGATTTAGCTGGGTTTTGAACTTTTCAAAGCCGCGTTCAAAAACGTAAAATTTAGACGGAAACATAAAATGATTAGCTCCTTGCCAATAATTGATTATTTTAATTCCTTAGAAAACATTTTTTGTCAAAAAATTGGAATAAAATTTAACGATCATTTAAAAGCGACACAAATATTTTGATCCATTGTCAGTGGCAAATCTGTCTGAATTTTTTTTTTATTATTATTATTATTTTATTAGGAACCACAAAGTTTTAAAATAAGCAATTGTTTATTATGTGTTGAGCAATCCTGTATACTTTCTTTTCAATCAATGAGGGCTCATAAATAATCATCGTAGATTTTTACTCACCCCGACCATCATGGTTATCACATGATCTGTTATGTCTTGGTCCGTAAAGTTAGCTCCTTCTGCAGACATCTCCAGTAATATGTCTACAAACACCTTGATCTTTTTCTTTGCTGGAAGAAAAGTAAGATTTTTAATTGAAAATTCTGGAGGTATACCATTAAAAAAAGTGAATGCGAACACAGGCATAAGTTAAAGGAGGATTTTTTTAGCTTACATGAATACTACGTTTAAATGCAAAATCTGGAATTTTTTTTTCGAACATTTCAATGAGATAAAATGTATGACTGGACGTTTTTGTTTCCCATTGTTTATAATTTATCTTTTTTTGGATTTAGGGTTTCATTTTTTTCGTTTCGTTGTGTCTGGAATCCATTTTCTACCTTACCTCCCAATTCGTTTTCGTCCGTCTTAACTTCCTCTATGAGTTTTTGCCTTTTTTCAATGAACTCCTCTTTTTTGCGTCTGATAACCTGTAAATAAATTGAACAACATTTGTTATTTAGTAAAATAACATCAAACGTATCTCTACAAATAAGACAAACGGAGCCAACACAACATGGAAATGGACTAATAGCGCAAGGGAAAGGACGCGCGTTGACAACGGCGCAGAGATACAACTATTCGTGCTTGATGGATGTCCGTGTTGCGTCTCCAAAATTGAAGGCGCTATGGCGTGAAGCGTGAACTTGCAATGCTCCGCTTAATGCTGCCAATGAGGCGTCGCTCATATTTGCAGAGAAGAAACTTAAAGAACGAGGCCCAAAAAGGTCTTTGGCCGTCATGACACTCGATTTCTTTCTTTTTTCAATTTGATGTCTGAATCTTTTTTAAGGATACACTTTGTCAAAGACTGGTATGTGCCGGTCCCATACAACCCGCGGGCCACGTTCTTTTTTCGCAAGTCTCGGGGCAATTTGACCCGGTTTTAGCATATATGGGTTAAGGTATGTGTTGCATATTTCAGCTCGTTGAAATTTTCAGCGATTGTATTGAACAGAATTCAGCACTGATTAGCAATTCAGTATATTTCCAACTATCTCAATACATACTACCAATTAATAATTAGTCCAGAGAGACGCCTTCCTCATGAATGTTAGGCAAACTGCATCACTCTGTGTAACATCTATTTTTGCATACCAAACAGAGAGAAAATATAATCGTTGCTTCTACAATGCTTACAACGGAGTCCAGGTCCAACTTACTTTCCCACTTGTAAATACAGTGTTACTCGTCTGGTACTATACACTTTGGTCCCAGTTACAAATGCTGCACGTTTCTGGCATCGAAATAATTTCTACCGAACACATTACATTTTAATTACCCTCAGATAAATAGGTTTGACCTGGAATACACTGTGAGCTTTGTAAGGGCAACAATTCCTCTCTCCAAGTGAAACTGACAGCGAATGGTTGGCAAAAGGAATTTACGCTGTTCATTTTGTGAATTCTAGGCACTGGACAGAGTAAATTTTCCACTGCCGTATACATGAAATGAATTAATTTATTCGAATCATCAAATTAACTCACAAGATTTGGAAGTTGTTTGAGCTTCATGTAGATTTGATCAAATCCGTTCATGTAAGTCACTAGGTTGAAAATGACGTCAGGATGTAGCCAAGGTTTGTAGATTCTCATTGAGTCATGCACAGAAGCTCTGTATTCAAAGAAAAATATGCAAAAGTAATTGGAGGACCAATAAAATGATATACAGACTCATTCTTGAAGATGGATCAATAATTTCTGATGTAAATATACGATATGTTTACATAATATGGTTTCAACATGTTAGGTAGTTAGTTAGTTAGTTAGTTGTTTAATCATATCATAACAAAAGGAAATGATACTTCACAAATATTTACCCATACGTTTCATTGAATTTGATGGTTGATGTTAATACGTGAGGTTTTCTAAGGCCGTGATTCCTATATCGTTGGATGAAAAAAATTGGAAAACTTTGTCGTTCTGTTGCTATTTTACGGCAATCTAAAATAATTTTTATCCGTGATTATAATAATCTATAATTAGTGAAACTGACTTCTGATGCTCTGTTAATGATAGAAGCATCTTACTTTTGTGCGTGGTTTTAATGTCAATGGATTTTGGAATTTCTACTTACTCTTCGAGAGCTCGGGCGAATTCCATTTCAGGACTATGAGCATCGTGCGATTTACTGATTTTCAAATCATAGCCTAGAGTTGTTTCTAGATCAAGGAAGGAATAAAGAAAATTAGGCACATTATGAAGAAAACCAACACAGGAAAAATTCATACTTTATTCTTCAGTTTACGGTCGAGGAAAAAAATTGAGATGAGCAATATTCCAGATGTGAGACGATAAAAGATTGATTCGCCTTCAGAAGCGAGGATAGGCAAAACTTGCTTCTCCATGTTGTATTAGTGGTGTCGATCTGGTATGCTTACAAGTAGGACAACGACGGCAAATGATTCCACGGGATGAGTTTTTTTTTTTCAGTTTTATCGTTTTTTCTTTTTGTGAATATTACACATATTTAATAGAGTTAGAATATATGAGCATGACACATGAGGTTGATCATATTAGTATTTTCGCTGGATAGTACTGAAAAATCAGCACATTTTCTCATGTAAACCCATGTAAAATACCCATATTTTATCGCAAAATCTGGCGACCCTGCGAAACAGAGACAGACGCAGGGAAATTTTCTTGATCCGCAGTTCCTGCATAAAATTACAGAAGTCAAAACAATCATGCCCTTTTTTTTCACTTTAAGAAGTACCAACTTTTACTGTGCAGTAACAATAATCGTATTTTTTCTAAGCCAGTTTTTTATACCGAACGAGACATTTTGCGATTTCAGCATTTTAAAATCATTGAAAATATTACTTGAAAATATAATTTCCTCGCAGAAAATGAATCAAACATCAAAATTTGAAGTTAGAGACCTTTTAGCCCAGTCTGGGTGTTTCAAAATATCCGCTATAAATCAATTATTTTGGATGAAATGAAACATTAAAATTTTTCTCATCATCTGCATAAATGTTCCTTTGAGATATTTTACCTATCAATAAAAAAAAAATAGTTTGAAAAAAAAAACATTTTTGAAGAAGAGTTCGTTTCTGGTTATACTTTTGTTTGAAGATACTTACGACAGATTAAACTGAGAGCTACGCTGCTGACAGCTGGCCACAGATCAAATTCTTCAGGTTTACCAACTTCGCACCGTATCATATCGATTAACTCCTTAGCTTTCTTGTTAAAAACGGGAATGAACTGCTCCAAAATAATCGGATTGAATGCTGGATTCAATATTCTCCGGTGTCGTCTCCACTTATCAACTGCAAAGAGAGCATTAGAATCAATTATATTTGAAGGGTAGGCAGGAAATAAAACCGAGAAAAAAACCGAAATTATCTTGATAACTCAAAGAGGATTCGGTGGATTTGGAGGATTTCAGCACTTGCACCAATAAGTTGCGGCTGGATGAAAAATAATTTTTGAATATCCGGCCGGGAATATCCTCTAGAATCCCTAATGCATACGCTTAAAAAAATGTAGGAAGTAAAGCTGGATTTGTTGATCGCATTAAATTGCAAAGCTCTCTGAGAATAACAAAGAGAGATTCTGAACGAAAAATACGACAAAGAATAAAAAAAGCATGCTGTGAACTATTACGGTCAATTCTCCCTTGTACCGAATCTGGATGAAAAATTATAAAAAATAAACAATGGTAAAATAGTTTACCTGGAGCAGAGAACAAACCCTCGCCGACCGTGTTTTTGAAGAACTTGTACATTTCGTCTTTTTGCAATGATTTACTGTTATTAAGTACGATCTGAGAGGAAAATCGGAAAAAAGCAACAATTAAAGATAGCAAATTTTAATTAAAACATAATCAAACGGTGTGAATGATTAACAGTAAAAATATCATAATTTATGAAGACTTCTCTTGAGTAATAAAATAATTGTTGAGTCGTAAGAAGTTTCATCAAGGTAAGATTTTATAATGGCATCCATGAAAAATATTTCAGATTTTTTCTGTTTTATTCTTAACGCATAGAAGCATACAAATCGTATGTTACTCTTATCTTTAAAAGCTCAGGGGTGTTGGCCATGATTAAAGTGTCAATCCCCTTCATCTGAAATTATTTTTATTATGAGCTGAAATTTGCACCATTCTACAGCTTTGTTGCCTGAAGCTCCGTAGTTTTAAACTCAAGGTCAGACATTGCAGTAAGATTACTGTCACATGTTTAAAAGTGTAAGCGTAAGATATTTGTTATCACCAATATTGCATCATGAATACGTTACCTGCAAATCCTCTGGTTCAGCAATGATAACGAACAATTTTGAGCCCACCCAGAATCGGAAAGGGGAAGGGAACGAGTCCATATTTTTCTCGATATTCTTAAAAACCTCTGAAAAGAAAACGTAATTTTTTAGTTAACATTGAGAATAATCTGAGTATATCATATCCACATTCCCCATTCGTCTGTAGTTCTGTTTAGCAGCATTGGCGGATCTAGCAAATTGGCAACATTGTATTTGCTCCATTTAAATCCATTGAAATGTATCGATCTTTGGAGGGGCCAGGTGCTCAGACAAGAATCGATTATTTAACATAGGTTTAAACGGAGGAAATCCGGCGTTGCCAAATTGCTGGGTCCGCCCTTGTTTAGCAGAAATACGTCCAATTTACAAGGCTCATTTTGTCATTCGACTTTTCTCCCGCTTTCGTCGGATAAAAAGTTGGATCGTGTGATATAGACACAAGAACGCAAAACTCGGAAGAAAAGTTGAACGGAGACTTGGATATGACGTAACCTGCAACTTTCCGACTGACATTAGCCGAAGCTGTATATCTTCACAAACCGGAAGCTGATAGAGATACCCGATTGCCGTTTAGCGCTATCACACGGCAGCGATAATTAAATTGCATTCGGTAGAATTTAACCTTTCATTCAATTTTCCGTCCGATTTTGCCTTACGAAAGTTGAAAATTGCGAATTGGGCTCCAATTTCACTTGATCTCGTGATCAGATATGACAAAAATTAATCAGAATTTTTATTGACGCACTGGAAAAAAAACACATTGGATCTAGAGTCCAGACTCTTGAAAACACTGACAAGAAAAAATACTCTTGATTCAATCAGATTTTTGCTTGGATCAAAAGGAAATCCGCTCAAATTAAGAGGCTTGGTTCTTGATTTAAGCAGAAATTTCGATTGAATCAAGAGTATTTTTTCTCGTCAATGTTTTTAATAGTCTGGACTCTAGATCCAATGTGTTTTTTTCCAGTGCGTACCCTATGTTTTTTACGGGTTTATTTAGGGGCCTATGGTTTATTTACGGGTACTATGTTTATTAAGGGGCCGATTACCGGACTTTAAGAGAGAGGAATAAGATACTTAGAGGAAATACAATTTTATTTAAAAATTGACTGGTGCGGAAATATGAGTTAAATTTTTGCCAGAGAACCAAAATTAAGTTGATATTTTTGTAAAATTTTGTACAAAAAGAGGAGAGGGAGGAAATTCCAAGTCTTTTGGGAAGAGTTCCCTCGCACCTCCAATTCTCTTTCCTGTAAATAGAGGTGGAGATTGGTATTTTTATGTTACGTAACAATCAGATAGCCCAGTACTCTAGAGAACAATACTAGGATAAATCTTACTTTTTTCCTGAAAATGACTGCGACCTGTCACTTCCAGTCTCAATGGACCAGAACCAGACTCTTTTTGGATTTGCAATGTCAAGGTCGCACGCGCCGCACTCCGCGCGACGAAGCAAACTAGTTTACGATAGTTTTATGAGTAACGTCAACGGAACATGAGAATTTCAAGTTCGGAAGTGGACACTCGTCTAATTAAATAAGTTCTAATTCCAAGTCAGTCGCCTTTGTCCACGGCGGCCGAATAATTTCGCAATTAACAAATCCATTTGAATACCTTTTTTACGGCGCGCAAACAGTGTTGTCACGTTTTTGAATAAAAATAGACAAAATTTGGCCCGGATTAAACACGCATCGTTTGAGAAAATCATGAGAAATCTGGCACTCTGATGATTATGGACGCATTGTTTTAGGGTTTTGCAGAAATGGTGTGTTGTGATCGCCTTGAATACTGTGACGCACTGGTCATTCCTAGACTGAAAAGAGGAAAACCTCCTCTGATGTCGGTGCTGCGCATAAATGCCCAATTTAGCAAGTTGAATCACCCCAACAATGTAATATGCAGCACTAGCGAGGTTAATGACGTTTGTACTTTAATTTAAGGGCAAGGGTACATCTTGAAGTATAAGGGTCGTCCATTCATTGGGTGGAGGCAGTGGCGAGGCGTGAATGATCGATTATCAATATTTTTCCATTAGGAGCTATGGTAAAGAATGGATTACTCAGGTATTCGTTGCGAACACCCTGTTTATCGATCCATTCCCATAGGTTTAAATGGCAGATCAATCGATAACGCAAAAGCACGCCACGCCACTGGATGGAAGTAACTCACTCAGGCGCACGAGAGATCTAGAACTGTATTAAGGGTGCGTTGAGATGGGGAATGGGACGGATTGGGTCCAGTAATACATTTGAAAAAAATTCAGGAGCCGTGGCGTTACATTTTGGCCAACGTCAAGGACGACTCAAAGATTCATTATAATACATTGAGTATATTGTGTACTCAACCACACACGTATCTCTTGAGCTGATTGTGAGTTCGGACGTACGTTACGACGGCGTGACGAAAAGGAAGAGATGAAAAAATGATGGCCTGATGCAATTGTGTACAAGAAGGAAAAACGGTAAAAAGGTGGTCCGAACTGTAAAATATACAGTTCGGGCCACAATTTTTTGTGTTTTCTCTTCGATTAGACAGTGAGATTGAACCATCATTTTTCACCCCCTTCCCTCTCGTCAAGCCTTTGCTCAATGTATGTCCGAATTCTTCTCAAAGGATACGAATATTGCTGTGTAAAGCCTCTCCTCATTGTATAATAAATCTTGGAAAATTAGTGCTGGGCTCACATTATTTTGCGGGGGAAAAAGGCCAACAAAGTTCAAAAATTTCAAATAGAATAAAAAATTTGAGCTCTAATGAGTATCCGTACAAGACTGAGGAGGAGAGTGCTCAGCCCCGGAATATGCATTGGAAATTTTGGTGCATTTGGATGCACTGCTCACTGACGAGTGTAATCTACTGATGAGGTCTAAGAAGAACCGAAACGTAATACATCCCTCGGCGTTTAATATTCCGATGCATCTGCCTAAACTGAACGTTTCTCCCCTTAGTCTTGTATTGATACTTATTAGGGCTCAAATCTTTGACTTTCATTGAAATCTTTTAACGTTTTTGGTCTTGCTTTCCCCGCAAAATAATGTGGATTCAGCCTGAGTTCACCACCGTGTGCCATTAAGAAATTGATAAGCAGTCTCTAAAAAGCCAAAAAGTTAGACAAATTTACATGCTTAACAGTAAAATTCCATGGTAATCTCACACTTTGATTGGAATCGATTTTTTTAAAAATATTTTTTGCCTTAGTTACAGGAAGATTTTGTGATGTGTGCAACATTTACTAAAAACCCTGCAACATTTAATCAATTTCCCTCGATAGGTTAAAAATAAGTAATACATGTGCCATCAAGGGCCATTACACCTCGAAATTAATCGAAGTTACTTTAAACGGACATTACGGACAATTAAAGCGCAGTAATTAATTTGGGATCCGTCTCCGTTAAGATATTTTAGCAACTTGTCACGTTGACTGAATCATGCAATCAACATGACAGAGTTAGTTCTTGATCGGATATTTACTCAAAAAAATAGTTCTGTTCACAGGGCTCTTGCACTTTCTTTGTTGCTACCGAAGTTTCCATTATCAGGACAGAGTACGCTCACGACCGAAGCTCTGTTCTCACAACGGAAAAGTTCTGTAAGTATAACAAAGAAAGTGCAGGAGCCCTATGAACAGGAAGTTCTGTCATCAGCTGCTACTATTTTTTGCGTGTTAAGCCAATCGAAATGGCTTTTATCAGAATTTCATCGAAAGTTGCGTTTACTTACCATCAGGAGTTCCAATAAACTCCAGTCCATTTCCTACGATAGGCAAAGCTGGCGGTCCTGGAAGCTGGAACGAAAACTTGAAGAGATGCCTCTTCTTCCATGTTGCGATTATCAGATGGCTCGTGAGAACTATCATGAGCATGAATAACAGCAGGGGCGACAGCAGGAACATTTTCTGAAAAAAAGTGAGTACGTGATCGGTTTTTGATTTTGCGATCCCATTCACGCGGTGGTGCAGTTTATTTTATTATACAGGGTGATCCAAGGTTAAACGGCCAGACTGCAGGAGCGTGTTTAATGGGTCAAAATAAGACTTTTTCGTCGTAAATTGAGATTTCAATTTTTTCCCGATCATTTATGAATTCAGGGCAAAAAAGTACAGGGGAATAGAAAATTTCATGAGATTTGGTTCGCGCAGCCGTTGCCAAAATTCAGGAAAAACGATTTACTTTTCGAAATGGTGGGGGGGGGGCGTAGCTCCGACTGGTAGCACATTTGTTAAAAAACTTTATAGGACAAAAGAGTCCTTTTTTGACCAATAGAACACACTCCTGCAGTCTGGTCGTTTGTCCCTGGCTGGATCACCCTGTTTGCATGAAATATTAAATATCGACTGTACGTCAGCAACTACGTATCTTCACTTAACACGTTGCAGACTTCCTGCCATATGAATTGAGAAACCTGCCATTTGAATGAAGAACTACCCTACGACAATTCTTAAAAACTGCCGTGAATTTCCTTCTTCGTGCGAAAAAAATTCTTTAAAACCTTCAAAGAATGACGTTGATTTGTTCTCCTCTATAATGATGAAATAGGAGCAGAAATTTTCAAACTCCGCAAACAAAATACAAGGTTGTGGACCTACACTGTCGATTCAAAAAATATTAGGGGTCACGCCCCCAAGCCGCTCTGCTGACTAACCACCAGAGGGCAAGTCGTGCCCCAGAGAGACGCTTTTTGGGTCATAATCCATTAACTATTGAAAGAGTGAGCTCATTAGAAATCGGTACCTCCTTTCAGGGCCTGATTAAGGGGGTGGCCACAAGGGCCGCGGCTCATGGCAGCGAATCTAAACGGGCGGCAAAAAGTTGCGATTTTTTTAAGTGTTGGTATAAATAAAAATCGGATTTAGAAAAAAACAATTACAAACCAGAAAAGGCGGCAAAATCTCTCATTTCCTGAGAGTATAGTAATATCTAATTTTGTCGTCTCTGAGTGATACAAGAGACAGCTGACATCACCTTTAATTAGTCGAGTTAAGAGAGAAACCAAACACGCAATTCGGCCCGGAACGGCGCGACTTAGAGGGAAATGATGACGGAGGACTTGAGATGAAAAGGAGAAGCCCTCGGCGCGGCGCGGCGATCGGCATGTAACACATATTAGCGCCTACAAGGTCCCTGCGGTCAGCGTGAAACGGATAGCGCCTACAAGACTGCGTGAATACTTCACGCATTGCGTCAAACACACTGCGTTCAGCAGCGGTCGTCGGCGTGAAACTCATAGCGCCTACAAGACTGTCGGAATACTTCACGCATTGCGCCAAACACGGTCTGCTCGGCGCGGCGGTGGAAGTTTAAATCATTGATCCACATTTATGTTTGTTCTTTCATAATTTTTTCGTTCATTTCTTATGAATGGAAGGCCTTGTTCACACAGAGATAGGTTTACGAAACTGAACTTTCGCGTAAAAGTTCTGTGAACTTATGCTAGTAGTGTTGACAGGGTTTTCCCAAAAAAATGTGTTCAACATGAGTAAATGCGTCTTATGCGACCCTCCCCTGCTGGCACGTCCACTTGATGGTTTTTATTGAGTTTCAAAATGAATGAGAAGGGGGTGGCAAAATACAGGCGGCCTATGGGCGGCAAGTAGGTGAATTCGGCCCTGCCTCCATTGGAAGCCACAAAACTCATGGAAATTGACCCAATGAATCTCCTGAACCAGCCAAGATAATAAAAATCTAAAAGTCGAGGAGACTGCGTACATATCGATAACCAATGTACAAAACCACGTATCTCAATTGCGGTTTTTCAAATTTTCCGCTTCCATTTTACTTTTTCGAAGAGAAACGAGCCACTCATAAGGCTTGAAATGTCTACAGAAAATTTTGCTAGCGAAGGAAAAAAATCAAGGAGAACTTTGACAAATTTCGTTGACTATACTGCCGTGCTAAGGAAGAACGCCGTATGAACATTCGAGAGTTGCTAAATTTCCTTCGATAAAATATTTATTTTTGAGGAATGTTCTGAATACTTTTCCTTGCAATTTTCAGGAACTTTGGATGAAATTGCGAACAAAATTATCAAAAAAGTTGAAAGGAAAATATTAATAAGTTTACCAGGAAATCCGTGTTTTATCAAAGGAAATTTGCCAACGCCTAAAGGTTCATATGGCGTTTTTCCTTAGCACGGCAGTATAGTCTCCCCAAGAGAAAATCAAAGTATGACGGGAAGTGTGCGACGATAATGGCCCTGAAGCCAAGAGAGGAAGGAAGCTGGAGCAAACTGACATCCAAATTTCACGCACTTTCACAGATAAAACTAGAACTGCACTGAAAGAGGCCTGATTTACAATAAGAGAAGATCCAAAGTAGAACATGAATTTCCCGAGGAACAACCAACCTTTTTCAAACTGGACGATTCAAAGGAACTCCTGGATGTTATCTACGGAACACGAGAAAACTTCAAACACTATAACTGCACTTCCTCTTGGGTGCCTTATACTGATTAAAAGCGCGTCTACAGGAACCATTCGTTTATATAGAGCAATGGCTGAAACGGCACTATGGTATGGTCACCACGGACCTGTTACTGGACCTAGGGTAATTAATTACAAATGTCAAAAAAAAGTTGTCCGCGGCGTCTTGAGCTATGCCGCGCGTGTACGCTCTACCATTTTTAGTGACCTGCGCGTGCGCCTTTTGGTGTGACCGTTCCCGGTAAAAATGCGAAAAAATACAGCCAGGCATCTTGACGTTTGACATTTCAAAATTTTCCTCATAAAATTAAACGTTTTTCCGTATCACGGCAGAACTACAATTTATGGATCGACTTTATAGTTGTAAAAATACCCGAAATAATTCATTTTACTTTTTTGTAAAAAAAAAGGAAACTCATTTTTTGATGTGATGGAACACACAAAAACCTGGTTTTTGTGTTTTAAATTTTTTTATTTAGCCTTGTATACCCATGTTTTAATCTACTTCTATCGTATTTTTTGAATTGTTAAAACCTTTCTTCTCTCAGAAATCTATAATAAGGGATTTTTCCCTCTTTAAGACTGTCCCAAAATCACGCTGCTCTAAAGTAACGCTTTTTACGCGCCATCTTCCACTGATTTGCTCTATAAAAATTTTGAACACGATAAGACAGTATCCTTCATCATTCGCGCTTACTTTTCTAGCCTTGCGTTCAAGTCTTTAGATGCTTCCTTGTCCTCTAGTCAAAATTCTGTCTTATCTACACTAAAACGCATGAAAGTCAGTTATTTTTCGTGCATAAGAACACCCCGAGCAGTGAAATGGGACCAAATGAATATGTTTGCTTACTTTTCTAACCTTGCGTTCAAGTCTCTAGACATTTCCTCAACATTCAGTTAGATAGACACATAAATGGATGAGAGTAAGTTATACACTGCCCATGAAAACATCCATAGCAGTGAAATGGGACCAAATATAATATTGCAATTCTTATAAAGTGGTCAAAGACGGGTAAGGCGTTGGATTATTTTATCACAAATGGTCGGTCAATCCACTGGCGTGAGAGCATAACTTCCAATTTGAGTTGAGCCCTTTTGTTCGTGTAGCTTCATGTCTTTCGAGGCTCTCGTAATAGAGGAGATACACCGTTACTTCAAAAGAGTAAGAGTGATGCTACATTTTTGCCAATCGGACTATTATAGAGTTTACGAATGAGGTAAGCTTGTGTCAGGTAAGCTTGTGTCATAAGCTTTGTGTCGAACTTCTTCCCCAACTTCAAATTGAGGCGTTGAATGCAGAGAGGGCATTTCTCGGTTGCAGTGTTTCAGAATCTCCAGTGCTAATTTCTTGAGGAAATTATTGGGGAAATTTACTGAATTTGACATTGTAAAATTATAAAGAATATATTCAGTAAAAGTTACAACAAATTACATACAATTGCTTTGATCATAGTCCGTGAAATGTTAGCGGCGATTTAAAGGCACCGCAACCAAGAAATGCCCTTTTTGCACCTAGCACTTCAATTATAGTTTATTACTACTGAATTCGGTTCCAATTACTATTTTGTCATAATCTTTAAATTTGTTAAAATAATATTTAAGAATAAGTCCCTATGCTGGCTCCATTCTCACACAAATATACTAAGTTTAGATAAAAGTTCATGCCTTCAAATAATTAAAGATGTAAAATACAGTAAGAATTTGGCTTATTCTGTCAAATTTGTGGGGTTCTGATTATGAAATTTTGAAACGATTTTAACGTCATTTAATCGATACGGTATCATCCCAAATGCATTTTATCTTGGTATGATCGAAACTCTTAGTTTCATTCTCCTTTTGTCTGTTTCAAACCCTTCATTTTTACAGATTTAAATCGCAAAGAATAAAACAGAATCCTTTGAATACATTTTTTACTTCCAGTTTGTTCAGTTTTATTTATTTATTTTTATGTTCATCTTTAGTCCCATAAAACACAAAAATTCTTTGATTTGCATTACTCGATTCACAAAAGTATGTTATGCTGTATAACATGGGTCGTGCATCTTCTTTTTTTACACTATAAGTCAACTATATTGTGCCTTCAATTATTCACAAGCCAAATCAAATGAACGGTAGCTTTTTCCTTACCTCTTTCTATTCTAATGGAAAAATTGCTTTATCATTTAACTGTCCTCCATAAAAGTGTTTCCTCACATATTTGAAAGTGCAATCCATCATTCACTTTTTTTTAACATCAAAACAAAAAGATAAAATAAATATAATTCTTACAATTGAATTTGGAGAAGAAGATGCTGACTCTGAGATTAGATATCCGAAAGGTGATCAAACTTCACTGAATAGAGAATAACTTCTAGTTAATGTCACAAAATGAAGAGGATCACAACTCTTCACTTTTTATCAGAAAAAATCACTTTCAAAGAATTTTCGAGATTACGGTGCTTTGGGAAAGATCTGGACAAAAAATGAACAGCGTTACTCCCACGTTCAACGTTATAATGAAAAATTTGAGGAAAATGAGACAGGCTGGAGGAGGAAAAAGTTGTGCTACAAAATGGTCTAAATTAAGTACCCAAATTTCCAACTAATTAACCTGGTCATAACGTGGATTACTGGGTAAAGTTTGACAATGATGGCGTTTTGAACAATGCGTGTTAAATCGAGTGCGCGTAAGCTAATAAATCAGCGTGCCGGTAGTGCGGAAAAAAAACCGCGCGGTTCGCAAAACTGGACCCTCATCACCAACTGCGGGTGGTTGATTTTCTAAAAACCCAAATTTTGCGTCACTATATTTTGACGTGGACAAATTCGTCAGCTCTGAATCAATTTAATTTTTACCGTGGTTATTTCAACTCTCGGGATCTCAATGAAAGGACAATGATCCTCTTAAATTTTGAAATTTTGATGCAGTTTTGTTGGATTATTGGACGTATTTACGCTAAATGGAATTATGTGCAAGTGGAAAGATGGGGTGTGCTCGTGGTGAGCTGGATACGAGAAAATGTCAAGGTGTATATTCCTTTTGAGAAAATGGAAAAGCGGGATTTGACATTAAATGGAACTGAGCGCAAACTCGTGAGCCGTGGACATGTGACAAGAGCGTTGTGGACAGGACTCATGAGTTAAGGCCGAGCAAGAACGACAATGGAGCCGGCTTCGTTGCCGCTGACGTCAATGGCGCTTTAAAATTACCATTCATTCTTATGGCCCTCAACTAACGAGCACACCCCATCATTCCACTTGCACATGGTTCAATTTAGCATAAATACGTCCAATTCTAGATTTACAAAATAAAGGAGAGGTCCTAAGAAGGCAGAGCACACCAATTCTTGCTGTCAAAAGGGCTTAACTTTGCTATGTATTTTCATATTTACATACAATTTTGAACCTCTATGTACAATGAAATCATGCAGTTTTTAATTTTGTCAAAGTCATCAATATTATATGAGAAACATTTTTCTCTTATTGATTATTACCAGCATCTTTACTCTGACATCTGAGTAGTGTCATTGTGGACAGTGTGACGTCAGATAGCTAAGACTGATATACCCTGGTTTATGAAACAAAGTCAGTCTGATCAGTCCGACTTCAGACCGACTCACAATTATTTGAAAAATACAAAAATATTTGCGTTTCATCAAGCAAAATTTGCCAAAGTCCAAAGGCTTAGATAACGTCCTTCCATAGGACTGAGGTATCCTTCTGTATCCTTCTTTCTGCATGTAATTCAGGCGTAAATAGTGTGAACATGTGGTGAAATACCATCGACGAATCACCCTGAGTAAAATGGGGGTGTGACTAGAATTTTCCAACCTGGAACCAAAATAGAGTATGTCTACTTAAAGTTCATTCTATTTTCTGTCGGTTCAAAACTTCTTGAGAATCGGAATTCGGGTAGATCCTCGGTGAAAGTTTCATATTCCAGCCATGAACGCTGCGGATCAGTAAATCCACTCGAAGTTTGATGTCTTCTTGCTTCATTGACGTGGTCACTTCGTAGTTCCGTATAAATGTTGATATCGTCGTTTTCATTGACATCATTGCGTATCGGGATCCTGTTAGGGTCAAACATTAAAAGAAAAAGTCTCAAAAATCTAATAATAGACATTTTACAGACTTCAGAAGTAATTGTAAAACTGCAAGCCACTGCAAAGCAACACGTTCTCTTTCATTACAATGCCTGGATGCAACAATTCGTGCTCAATGGATGTGAGTGTTGCATACACAAATATTGAAAGCGCTCTCGTTTTCCTTCTCAATGTCGCGATGCGTTCAGGCGGCTTGTAGTCATGATCAACAAAAAAATATTGTGATGTTCCGATAAACATCAGGCATTGAAGGAAAGTACGAGGTGCATGAAAGAATACCTTTTTCAATAGTCAATATTTCGCTCAAACTCAAGAATATAAGGATAGAAAGAGAGGCCCGTGCCCTCGATAGTAAAAATTTTTGACAATTTGAAAAACTTGCGCATTGACGAAGAGATAGATAGACCGTGTGGAAGATGTTTTTCCAGTGGCGGATCCAGCAATTTGGCAACAACGTATTTCCTCCATTTAAACCTATGTTAAATAACTGAATTTTGTCGAGGCACCTGGCCCCTCCAAGGATCGACGCAAATTTCTATAGGTTTAAATGGAAAAAAGACAATGTTGCCAATTTGCTAGACCCTCCAATGTATTTTTCACGTATAAGAGTGCTTACCAATGCATCCTCGGGGTCCACCACTGAAAGGTATAAAAGAATATCTGTGTTTTTTCTCCAAATTTTCGGCAGTGAAATTATCCGGGTTGAATTTTTGCGGTTCCGGCCAAATATCTGGACTAGTATGCGTCATTAGTGGAGCTATCACGGCTGTTGTTCCTGCAGGTAATACGTGGTCACCTGCTGTTGAAAGAAAAATTATCACCGTTAGAAATAAAAGTAAGATACATTTTCAAAACCAGCGCTCACATTTTCCGGAACTATTTCCGAATTCCGGAACTTTTGACGGACATGGAATGGGAGCACTGGGATGCACAACTATCGACCTTTCCGGTTTTTGATGCACGCAATGCAGACAAAGTCATGCGTGTACAAGTTATCATTTTTTAATTGATCCTCGAATTTACATTTTAGTAAGTGGCATATCGATGACCAAAGTGAGAACCATGTATATCTTCGTTTGCGACAATTCAGACTTCTGGTCATACTTTATTTTTTCATTAGAGAACTAGGCAACTTAATATCTTGAACACTTTCATGATTTTTCCTCTCTATTAGCAAAATACTCCGTAGAAATTTCAAGCCACATTGTTGACTTCTTTCTTTTCGAAAAATTAAATAGGGGCAGAGATTTTGAAACACTGCAACGGAGATACGTGGTTTTGGACTTCAGCCATTGATATGTGCTAACGGAGTTCTTTGGACAAAATTTAGAACCACTAATGTTAAAAATAATCATAATCAAGCCTATGGATAACCGTAATAGTCTGTAGTTATACTAAAAATCATCTGCTAAGCTTTATTGAATCTTAATTGTTGCACAATTTATTTATGATTATTTTTTTGGATTTGTTCAGGGCCGGATTCACCTACTTGCTGCCCATGGGCCGCCTGTATTTTGCCGCCCCCTTCTCATTCGTTTTGGAACATCAATAAAAACCATCAAGTGAACGTGCCGGAGGGGGAGGGGTGCATAAGACACGTTTACTTGTGTTGGACAATTTTTTTGCGAAAGCCCTGTCAAAACTACCAGTAAAATTTCACGGAACTTTGCGCGAAAGTTTAGTTTCGTAAACCTATCTCTGTGTGGACAAGGCCTTCCACTTATAAGTATTGAACGAAAAAATTATGAAAGAACAAACATAAACGTGGTTTAATAGTTTTAACTTCCGCCGCCGCGCCGCGCTGAGCGCACTATATTTGGCGCAATGCGTGAAGTATTCATGCAGTCTTGTAGGCGCTGTGCGTTTCACGTCGACCGCTTCCGCCGCTGCTGCTACGTCTGACGCAATGCGTGAAGTATTCATGCAGTCTCGTAGGCGCTAATATGTGTTACATGTTGACCGCCGAGCCGAGGGCTTCTCCTTTTCATCTCAAGTCCTCGTCACCATTGCTCTCTGCGCCGCGCCGTTCCAGGCCAAATTGCGTGTTTGGTTTTTCTCTTAACTCGACTAATTAAAGGAGCCGTCTCTTCTATCCCCGAAAGACGACAAAATTAGGAAATGAGAGATTTTGTCGCCTTTTCTCGTTAGTAATTTTTTCTGAATCTGACTTTAACTTTGCCGCCCCCTAAATTTGCCGCCATGGGCCGCGGCCCATTAGGCCACCCCCTGAATCCGGCCTTGAATTTGTTCATACACAATAGTGCAAATATTTAGACATACATATCTTTGTGTCCTCTTTCACAGTCCGAAGGAACACAGGGCCTGCCGGAAACATACGGAGTGTTTCTTTGATCACTTGCTCTGTGTAAATCATCTTTCCAAGATCCTCGACAGTTACAGGCCGGTTTTCTCCATCGAAAATGCTCAGCTGTTCTTCAAATACCTTATCCTAAACATGAACAATGTATAAAGTCTTCTGTCTTTGATTCTTTGTCAAATATCTAATCGCGATAAATGAGCTTAAGAAAAAATTAGGGATGATATGTGTTTAGATTGTAAAAACACGCCTTTATCCGATAATGATTGGAAAAATATAAGACTTAATGAAACTGTAGAATTTTGATTCAGTTCTGGTATATTTTAATGCTTTCGTTTAGTTGTTATTTAGGAGTCTTAATAAAAGTGCTTCTTCATTCACAAAAAAAAATTAAATTAAATTTAAAAACGAAAATTATATTAATTAGAGCTGTAACTATCATCTAATCTAATTATAACTAATCGTTTTATTTCGTTGATTTATTTTTATGCTCTATTTTACAAAAAATACAGCGATGCCCTAACTCATGTACACATTTGACACAATCCATTTTGTATGCTATGCATAGGCATCCTCGCCAACTTCAAAATCAATTCAAATGAATTGATAAATAAACATAAATAGGTAAGTCAAAATGTCTCCTTTAAATTGAATAAAGCTAATGAGATACTTACTTGAACTTCTTTATGCATGGCAAGTAGAAGAATACAAAAACAGTTCGTCACTGCACTAGTTTCACTTCCCTGAAAATGAAAGAGAAATAGCCGGGGGATTAGGAACACTAAGTTTAAACGAGATTCATCTCAACCTCTTTTCACATCGAGGAATAGTAGATTGCTGATATTAAATTTTTCTATTAAATATTTCTAGTTTATAAGCCAGACAATATAAAATATTAGACACAACATATGTGTTTTCAGTTTTTCTATGCAGCTAGGTGCTTAGAAATATAAGCTAGAAATAATGGTTTCGTGGTGCAAAATGTATTCCCATTATTCGTTGACTCATCTGCGTCATCAATGTGTTGACTCCTCTGAAAATATTCGACGAGCGTCTAATATAGCCTCATCTTGCAAAATTGATTTTGGTTTAAGTGACAGAATTGTGAGGATATTGCGTTGATATTTGCAAGTATTTAGTGATATCATACGGCATTGAGAAAAATTTGATGTGAGCAGTGCTGGAATTAACCCTGAAGGATGCATGTGTTCTCACAATTTCCTGAAATTGCATCCAGAATTGCATGCGCCGACCATTGGTGAGAGTAGCCTTCTCACTGCCCATTAGCTTTTAATGTTTTTACTTGCAACATACTTGCATGCAACATTTAAGCACCCAGCCGTCACGTTGTTGGCTGAATAAAATAACTTGATCGTAAATTCAAAGACTGTTATTTTAGCAATTATCGCTCAACATCGTTGTAATAAAAAATCAAGTCAAACAGAAATAACGCAATTAAAAAACGATAATTTTACTTACCCCTATCATCATTGTAACCACTTCGTCCAGCATGTCCTTTTCTGTGAACTCTTGGATTCCCTGGTCATTGAGCTCCAACAGAATATCCAAAAATACCCTCATTTGTTTCCCTTCAGACAAAAGGCACAGCCAAATTGTGGATCAATATAATTAAAAACTGATTAAACATGTGATTTATAGGGAATGCTCGAGGAAGACGAAATCAAATAATGAATATAGAATATTTTAAAATTGCATAACCATATGAAATACGTCTAAGCTGCCCAAACAATCAAAATACGAAAATGAATCAAGCGTAAAAGTTGGCATTGTTCCATTCTCAGAGCCTTGAGGGCAGTTCGCGTCTGGCCACGATTGAAAAAGTACGTGCAGGGCTTCCTGAAATCAAATCACTCATATGATTCCAGTAGCCTAATAGATTTGATAATGCACGCAGCAAAACTAAAAAAAAAAAAAAAACATGCTTGACTCCTCTCATTACAAAGTGGCTTTCCTGTCACATTCAGTAGGTATGACAGAACATTCCTAAAATTCTAGGGACCTGTTACTTCTTTTTTTTGGCGCAGATCGATAATTTTCCCGCAAAAGTTGCAAGTCCCATATTTTCATTATTTTTCTCTATTTGTATGATGTAAAATTACCATACAGCTCAACTTTCGTAATATTTAAAATTGGTACGCTTAGCACAACCTTTTATCGTAGATATTAGCATAATGTTAATAAAGTGAGATTATAGACATTGAAATGCAATGGAAGTTTAAGCGAAAACGAATTATGTGAAAATGAAGGACCTGTGTGTATAACATTTGAGTGCTTCATAGCTACTTTGAATTAAATGAATGAGTGCATTGTCTTCTTTAGTACAAACACGTCTAATAATTCCAAATTTTATTCAGAAAAACCAGGAAAAATAACAAGCTAACCGTCCATATATTTTGATTTTAATGCAATCATACCCATAAATTCATGAGAAAAACATGTATCAGCATCTGTGTAGCAAAATTTCAGGCTGTCACCCCTCTCTCTCCATCTTCTTTGGGTTTATAAAGTTATTATCACGCCCTCAAAGTCTTATAAGTAACAAAGGTCCTCCTGATTCCAATAACAGTACTTCTCATCATTGCTGCATGGTGCTTAGCTTGTTTGAATCAGTGAGTTCGAAAACACACCAACTCGGGTTTTTTTCGATTTCCACTTTTCTATGGTTTAGTACCACTTATTGATAGACGCATCTGCACGCAAAAGGAAATTGCGAAATTGCAATTGGAAGTGCTCGAAACTTTTTAAACGCTTAATTCTCTGTCATCAAACATGGTGTATCGATTTCAACTTGGTGCTTCACAAAGTCTCTACGTACTTGTCCTTTGGCACCAAAAAGGTTTTTCTTCAACTAACTTCTTCGCCCGCTGCGCAGTTTTAGGTGTTTCCTGAACAATTTTTTTTTTCCCGAGTTAGTGCGTTTCCGAACTCACTGATTCATTTTAAGATAGACGTGGCAACGCCGCGAGGGCAACGTGCCTCACAATAAAAAGCCAGCCGAGATCCGGAGCCAATTCTGACTAGCGCCACTATTCGTCGCCCCACTGACGAAAGAACGTACCTCAATCTCCTCGTGAGCCCTGTTTCATGTGTAAATCCATGCTTTCTGGGGCTCATGCGGAAGTCTAGATACTCCTTTACGTCAGAGGGGCAACGTATTGTGCAATAAGGAAGACAAGACAGTTAAACTCTGGCGGCCTTGATGGACAAACTAGGCCTCTTCTGCACCCGAAGCCCAGACACTGACGTATTTCGGGACCCATTACAAAATTTACAAAATGCTCGCACGGGAAAATGGAACTGTAGAGACAGGTGAGATCGCACGTATACTTTGAAAGATTGCTCTGTTTATGCCGGCTTCCGGGAAGTCAATTTAGAGCACCGAAAACCCGCTGAAAATTGATTCTTAGAAGGTGACTAAGTGAGTTAAAAAGGAACAGATAAAACGTAAGCATATTGTTCTTTGTTATTCAGCCATAAATACTTCAACATATTCTTCATTTTTAAGCGCTCAGCCGATAGGCAGCGCTTTTTGATTTCGACTTGCCTCTAGAATACTAGTATACTAGTGCTAATTTGTTTAAATGGCGCACCAGCTCATCGATGTGTAGGCTTTTGGGGGGGGGGTCCAGTTTTAAAATAAATAAAGCTGTGATAACCGTATTTTATGCTTTTAACGTAATGCGCGGTGAGTTACGATCGTTTGTCTATAAGAAATTTCCTTAGCGGTAGAGTAATTCTTATCGAAATTGATCGTTGAAAATGAAAGAAGCTTAAAAAAAAACGCGCCTGATGAGCTCAACGGTGACTATCATTTTCGGGAAACGAAAAAACGCGTTTACGGTTTCCTTGGTAACCTTTGTTTGCTATCAGCTGATGTTTTATTTCCATTTCCCAGCCAAGTCGACGGAGTTTATACTTCCTTTCTTCACTAAATACATTGACTAACACCTGAGCTCTTTTCTAATACGACAGAATTAGAACTTTCCTGCTTGTTTTAAATTAGGTCCGTCCCTAAATTACGTAACGATCTAGGAAGAAGAGGGGTCGAAGAGAGCGTTACGCCATTTTGCTTTTACGTGTTAAAGGATGCAACGTCACAGAAGTATTATAAGGGAGGAGGAGGGAGGGTCAAAAAAGCTAAGAAAGTGCGTTACGTAATTTAGGGACGGCCCTTTACCGTATAGCTTGAGCCAAAAATATTGTTTTGCCTTTTAAGTTTGTACGGCTTTTTCTGATCACCCGTTTTTGGTCTCATCAATTTTTTTTAAAGTACTGTATGAAGTATTCAATCGGTCAATATTATGTAAGGAATTTAAATAAAAATGTATTGAAAGAACACTTTATTTACCTTTTTCTGGCATATTTTGATTATTCTCCTCGATAAACTTTTTATTCAATTCGAACTCTTTTTTTCTTCTTTGAATAACCTGCGAAAGTAGAGAATTTATGTGAGAGCAGTATAATGAAAGTTCCACACAGAGAAATAATATTTCAAGTTTGAAAGATATCAACATAGATCACAGAAATAATCCGAAATAATAGCGAAAAAAATATTAATTGTGTTTTCACGGCCCAAGTCCTCCTCCCTTACGTCTTAAATAATGTAAGAAGGAATAATGAGAACTTGAAAAATTGTTTATCACTTTTAAATAACTAAAATTGCATGTTATAACATGTATAGATAACAAGAAAAATTGACTCTTTTCGATCGGAAAGGCTACTTTTTCTCTCTCCCCCCCCCCCCATTTGTAAAAATATGTCCAACATGTTGTGTGTTTTTGTGTTATGTCGTTTTTCTTAAAATATGTTGAAAGAACAGATTATGTGATCCAACAGATTTATATTCTAACGGTGTTTCGGTTATTCTTTGAGTTTAGCAATTTAAAGACCGAAAACACAAGTATGTAAATAGGAAGAAACTCAAAATTAATTTTCGGTTACTCTTGCTTTTCATACACTGCAAAAGTGCTTAAAAAATAAGTCAAATCACACAATTAACTATTGCTGAATTACTTGATTCTTAAGTTTATAATACCTCCTTGGGCAGCCCATGAAGAGTTTTGTACACTTCTCTCAGCTCTTTAGCATAACTGACTCGATCAAAAATAAAATCTGGATGAAGCCAAGGTTTGTAAATTCGCAAGTAATCAAGCTCTGATGCTCTGTGATAGAAAAATGATAGAATTAAATAACAAGACGTAAACAAGAAGTAACATAGAAGTAAATAACGTCATTTATAAGAGAAATAATTAGAATTAAATTTATAAAATCGTTGTATAGGAGCTTAATACAGAATTATGGTATGTCTGCAGTTACAGGGTTTGTTTTCTGACAAAAGTTTCATACAAGTTTTCAGTTGTGTGAATTCATCATCAAAAAACTGCTGTAAATTGTCATTTCAAGGGTCATCATCTCAATATTTGAGCATCTCAAAGCACGATTTAAAAAAACTTTGGATTTGCTTTACTCTCATACTGATTGCGATTTTTTAAATCCCGCGAATATTCGTTTGCACGCTGGCGAGCCTAAATCTCAATTTAATCCTGCTGGACGAGAGAATACGATGGAAAAATAAGTTTTGTTTAACTACGCATTAGCAGACGAAATACTGTTTTCCGGTAATTATTTGAAATCAAATATGAAATGCATAATATCTCCAGGCCTATAAACAATTACTAGAAACCACCTTCATGACTAAAAGCTTGTGCTTAGGCTCCTAATTTTCCGCATTCTCTTTGAAACAAACCGTGAAACTTCAGCTCACTCATCCGTCGCATAAGCACCTCTTAGTGGTTGATGATGATTGATGATAGAGTGCAGAAAGGCCTTTGGCAAATATGGACATTGAACTGAAATTTAAATGTTCCCATGGTTGAATATCCACAAGGTAATAAACTTGTCATGAGAGTTGCATATTCAAGAATGCAGACATTACTATTACTATGCAGACATACCATAACTGCATGCATACAAGTGGATTTATTGTAGGCAAAATATTTGTGATCTTTTTCTTTAACCGCACAAAGATTTTGACCACTCTAAATCTAGCAGTTTTTATCCATTGAATCCGTAGACGGAAAAATAGAATTTAAAAACATCGGCTTTGTCCTTCGCAACGACTTAGAATTTTATCCAGCTAGAGCAATTTTTTTTCAGGAATCTTTTTTTAGGATTTTTGTGTGACAATGTCGAACATTGACCGACTCTGGTATGAATGCATTCTAGAGGACATCTATCAAAATAAAAATTTGTGTTTTTAATTTTAGTTTACATTTTCAATATTTACTCATATTTTTTTTTAAGACTGCGTAAAAAGCAAATGCACTACTGTGAAATTTACCTCATAAGAGCCGTCGCAAAATCTGAGTTCTCGTTATCTTGAGTGTTAATCTTGACACCCAAAGCGGTCTCTGTGAACAAATATATTAAGTTTGAACGTAGAATCGAGTGAAGGGTCATATTGAGCGTCTTGAACTTATAAGCATGGTACAAATAAACAAGAATGGCACGCGGTATAATCAAGTGGAATGTGATGAAATAAAATAAGATACTGGCGAATATTAAATATGTGTCAATAACCATTTTTTTCAGTGCATTCAGCCTCTTTTGCTGAGAGAGCTTCAGTGACTTTAACGCGTGTTTAAGAAAATAATGCAATTAAAAGGGGAGCTTTACCACTAACTTTGAGCAGTTTCTGCTCCCGCCGCGCCGGGAACTGTTTTCAGAGAACACTTACCTCAAAATAACTCAATTTTTTGAGCACTAAAAGCTCTGAAAGCTCTATGTTTACTCCTCAGTGACCATGTGTTGGTAAATTACATTTTTAAAACGAGTCAACAAAAGTACCAGTTAGCAGATCAACAGAGCACATCAAACCTGAGTGTATTTCGTTCAAAACTCGAGTAATAAATAAAGAATTTTGAAATAATCTGGTAAAAAAGCTCAAGTTTAACTATACTAAATGGAAAATTTATTCACTGCAGTAACTGCTAAATTTAGAATTCCAAAAATAAAACGTTCACCGAGTCTAGACATTTTTGAAGAGCATTTTCACCTCCCGCCAAAAGGACAAGGGAAGTATACGAAATAATGCAGAAGAATAACTTTTCTCTGAATAAAATATTGAACTATACAAAATACCGTGATAATTTAAATGCCGCGAGGAAATCTTGAGAAATAATAGCGAATTTGTTTTCCTTTTCAAAGTCATCCGGTCCCTGTCATTCTTGCACGATTGATATATAATTCAGCGCAGCAGGAAAAGTAATTTCGTGACGCAATTTTCAGAAGACCTATCCTACGGTCATTGACGACGTGATTTCCGTCACAATTTGTTCTTATTGTTTATGAAGAAGTTAGCTCTACTTAATACGAATACCTCTACAAAACGTTATCTTCACCCCTTTACTAAAAAAAAAAGCAGAATTGTTTACACAGCTATTCCCTCAAAAAATTGATGTTTTGAACCAGCTACTTACTGTTGTATACCAAACTACCCGACTTACTATAATTGGTGTAATAAGAGGGGGATCATAAGGCAAATTCCGGAGAATAAATTACTTTTAGGTTAACTTTCGAGGCCGACTTGACAGAACTGCCAACTGACAAAGAAAAACAATCGTCAGATGTCAAAAACTAAACTCTGCAGTTTAATACTTGCGTTAAAGACTTGCGGCTAACATTTGCATCCATCCATTTTTCAACTTACCTCAAAGAGTGAGTCAAAAACCAAATATTGTCAGATTACCATCGCACGGCGGGTTTTCGTTTTATTCTTATAGAGATTGGCAAGTAGAGTAATTGAATCTTATCCTGTCATTAAATCTCAGAATGAAAATGAAAAATAAAATTTTCAAATGAATCTCAATTTAGGGCGACGAGATGCATGCTGCCACTTTTTAAGATTTGTCTATAAGAATTTCCAAGGAAGACGAGAGGATCATTCTCATCTGATACTGATCACCCATAACAAAAGATTACGTTACTTACGACAAATAATATCCAACGCAAGAGAGTTAATGTAAGGCCAAATGTCAAATTCAACTCCATCACCGCAATGTGGTTTCAATTTTTCAGTTAAAATGGTATTTCTCTCGTTGAAAACAGGCATGAATTGCTCTAGAAGTTTAGCATTGAAAGCAGGCGTCACAGCTTTTCGAGTTTTTTTCCATTTTTCAACTGAAATCAAATAAGTAAAAAACAAAGTATAACATTTTTAGGTGATCTTCAAACATTTCTCTCCTATTTCTACCTTCTAGAAAGTTTACGAGAGTTGAGAGGAGAAAAAATAAAACCAGCAGTAGAGTAATTTTTTAAAGTGTTCAATTTATGACGTATGTTTTCCCTTTAATATTTATCGATTTGATTTAATTTTTATTTGCTTTATTTGTATGTAAGCTACTGTTTGGTAATCGTAAAGATGCAAAAAAAAATATTTCTCTTTTGAGAAGATTGAAAAGACGCAAGTATTTACTTTCGCAAATAACAAAAGGTTTTTCTTTTGCTTAAAAAATAGACTTAGTTAGGTAGGTATAAATTTCTTATTTGAGAGATTACTCAAGTTTAATTCATACATGGCAGTTTTTTTAAGATAAATTGATAAATATAATCCTCAGACAGTTTTAATGTACGTGAATAATGTGAAAAATGCATATAAAAGAGATGAATAAAAACTGAATTTTCAAAAACACTTAAAGATAAATTTATTAGAATTTGTATTACCTGGAGCTGAAAACAAACCAGTTCCTACAGTATTCCTAAAAAACCGATACACGTCATCTTTTTCAAGAACTTTCGAGCTATTCAATACTATCTGAAAAAAGGTGTTAGAAAATTAATCAAAGTCTGGCGGATAAAGTATTTTGTTAAGAATTTATTTGAGGGCAAATAATACAGTGAACACGATTTATGAAGGTAGGAAATTAAGGAGTACCAACCCTCTGATGGTCTGTGAGAGGACAAAGTACTGTGGCGGTTAGGCGTCCGTGGCTAAGCACCAGTTAACGCTCTAAAAGCTGTTCCTATGTATGTAAGTATGGGTAAATGTGACTTTAATACGCAGACTTGTTCATAAGCCTACGTTTCTAGTTAACGAACGATGAATGAAGATGACAAGGGACATAATTCAAAACCTGCATGTTATGGCGACTTTCAATAATCCAAAACTTGGTTCCTCATCAATAAGATCAACAAAAGGGGTACAATTTCTAGTCTTCAATTTGGAATCATGGAATTCTAATTATTTCGACTTATTTTGCATAAATGTAGCTGTTAATTTTCCTCCGGGAAACACTGCATCGCGCGAGGCTGGAAATTATATCCTGATACTTTGCTTGCTGGTGAGTGAGCTTTCAGTTAACTGATATCATCACTCATGCTGAAGGACTTTTTACTCGATCGAGTAAATGAGTATCGTGACAGATCGGTTCGGTAAATGCTGCTGCACAGGATGCATATCGTTTTCTCACCATGAACACGTGCTTGTCAGCAAGCCGTGAAGAAGGAAATCGCCAGCAAGAAGATTAATCTCGCACCCATTCGGACTACTTGAACACATATGAGAACCATTGTACGTTTTTGGTGCGAGATTTGTTCGTTTAAAAGAAAATGGACGCACAGAGTGAAGATAAGTGTATATCGAGAGCTAAGGAATAATACCACATAAATGACGATTTCGGCGAGAATGAGAGGGCGACTTGATGCATTCTGCAGTATTAAATACACAAATTGATGATTTTAGTTTGTTCCAATGGAAATGTTGCATGTGTTTTTCCAATGGAAATGTTGCATGTGTGAGGAATTTGCGATTCGACTGTTGATTCTGTTATAAAAGTTCGCGAGAAACACGATGGTGCCACTGGTTTTCTCTGAAATCAACTCCCAAGCTTAAAAAGAGCTCTCAAGTTGAGGCCAAGATAAAGGGGATATCCCACGCTATCCTGAGATTCCACCTTTACATCAAGACGAACTCTCCATGCGAAAGGTAGGGAGCACATACATTGACAGGGCTGTCACTTTATTTGGGGACTCTCAAACTGAAAATACGGCATCCCTGCCAATGTATTTGCTCCCCATCTTTTGCATGGAGAGTTCGCCTTGATGTAGAGATGGACTCTCAGGATAGCGTGGGATATACCCTCCAGGGCTGGATTTAGGGGGTGGCCACATGAGCCGCGGCCCATGGCGGTAAAAGGGGGCGGCAAATCTTGCAATTTTTTTTAAATGTACCTAAAAAGCAAAATTGAATTCAGAAAAAAAATTACAAACAAGAAAAGGTGACAAAATCTCTCATTTCCTGAGAGTATATCCCTAATTTTGTCGCCTTTCTGCGATACAATAGACTGCATATTTAATTAGTCGAGTTAAGACTAAGAGAGAACCCGAACACGGAATTTGGCCTAGAACGGCGCGGCAGCGCAGAGAGCAATGATGACGAGAACTTGAGATGAAAATGAGAAACCCTGGCGCGGCGCGCGGTCGACATATAACACATATTAGCGCCTACAAGACTGCATGGATACTTCACGCATTGCGTCAAAGACAGTGCGGTCGCTACGGTCAGCAGCGGGCGACGAGAAACGCATAGCGCCTACAAGACTGCATGAACACTTCACGCATTGCGTCAAAGACAGTGCAGTGCGGTCGCTACGGTCAGCAGCGGGCGGCGAGAAACGCATAGCGCCTACAAGACTGTGTGAATACTTCACGCACTGCGCCAAACACAGTGCGGTCAGCGCAGCGCGGCGGCGGAAGTTGAAATTATTAAACCACATTTATATTTGCTCTTTCATAATATTTTCGTTTATTTCATATAAATAGAAGCCCTTGTCCACACAGAGATAGATTTACGAAACTTAACTTTCACAAAAAATGTGTCCAACACGAGTAAACGTGTCTTATGCACCCCTCCTCCTCCGGCACGTTCACTTGATGGTTTTTATTGATGTTTCAAAACGAATGAGAAGGGGACGGCAAAATACAGGCGGCCCATGGGCGGCAAATAAGTAAATCCGGCCCTGATCCCCTCCATTTTGGCCTCAACTTGAGAGCTTCTTTTGAGTTTGGGAGTTGATTCCAGAGAAAACCAGTGGCACCATCGTTATTCTTGCGAACTTTTACCTAAGAATCACCAGTCAAATTGCAAATTCCTCACACATGCAACATCTCCATTCTGTAAGGGAACACTTCAATAACGCTGTACCTAATGTACGAAAAAATTGCAAATCTAACCTCAAAATTAAAAAAATTTGAAGTTTCTTCTTTCTCTTGCAAAATCGTCAGTTAGCAGATAGGCTGTATTGTTCCTTATAGCCATCGATATGGCTGTTATGTCTTTTTTTATTACCTGCAGGTCCGCTGGTTTTGCTATGACGACACACAGCTTGCTACCGAGCCAAAACCTGAATGGAGATTGAAACCGTCCTTTAAGTTCTATTAATTTCGACATTATCCCTGAAATCATATTAATTAGTCAGTTAACGATTATCACGTTTGTTGTGTTTTAATTTTTGGTACATTTTTAAAGTTCGTGATTAAAATCGTCGCTTGGTCTCCAAACTGTAGTTACCCGAATGCTGAGGGTAATTAACCGAAAAAGGAAAGAAAAAATTGAACTGTTCAGAAGTAAATTGAATATCATCGTCATTTCTCCAAAAATTAAGCCTATTTTCTACAAGTTGTTGACAGACACATATGAATAATTAACCTGAGAAGTGGCTCTTTGAGGCAGCTCTTAAGGATTGAGCCAAGTTGCGGCCAGCCGACTGAGTGTTGCATTTGATAGACAAAGCTATAAAAAAGAAGAAGAAAATAAATATGGAGGGATCCTATTGGTGGAAGCGGGTGTTTTAAATGGACAAAGCAGGTAGATAATAGAATAACTAAAGGTAACCCACGAGAGACCCTATTGTTAGTCCATCATTTTATCCCTTAATCTATAGAACCCAACCATATCAACCAATAGGATCGCTCCATACTCCCTATGTCTTCTTTGCCTATCGCTTTGATTATCAGTTACAACAGTCAGCCCCCTACTATCTTATGATGACCCAAATTGAATCAGTGAGTTCGGAAACACACCAACTCGGGTTTTTTTCGATTTTCACTTTTTCACGGTTTAGTAACACTTATGGATAGAGGCATCTGCACGCAAGAGGAAATTTCGAAATTGCAATCGGAAGTGCTCGAAACAGCGACAGGAAAAGGGAAGAATCGAAGTATTTCATTGGAAATACCAATTTTTGGCCATTTCAAGGGAAATTGGTGACCATCCGATTTCGCGGTTTTCTTTTTTCGGTTCAGTACACCTTGTACCAATAAGTTATATACATATTCAAGCGTTATTCTAGGTCGAAAAATATACATTTTTCAGGGCAGACTATGAAATATTAGTATCTGAAAGTCAGTGAGAACGAAAACACTCCAACTCGGAAATTTTAAACGCTTAATTCTCTGTCATCAAACATGGTGTATCGATTTCAACTCGGTGCTTTACAAAGTCTCTATGTACTTGTCTTTTGGCATCAAAAAGGGTTTTCTTGAACTAACTTCTTCGCCCGCTGCGCAGTTTTAGGTGTTCCCTGAACAATTTTTTTTTCCGAGCTGGTGTGTTTTCGAACTCACTGATTCAATGCAAAGCATCTCTACAACACAACCTCCCTTTAGTTTCATAAACGTAGATACCTACTTTCTGGGTCACTGAGTAGGAACTCCATGGCGTTGCCAACTATAGGCAATGGAGTCGGACCGGGAAAAGTTGCCGCCAATTTTTCAAAATGTCGGTTCTTCCATTTCCGAGCAACGAGAAAGATAATAGAGCAGAGAACCAATAATGCAGTTAAAGTTCTTGTCGTCCTCGACAGGCCTGATGCTGCAATGCCGTTAAGTTGCTCGTTGCCAATCGGGATCCTGTAATGAAATCACTATGTGGGTACCAGGTATTTGGTAAGGGGCTTACTAGCTGTGTCGTAGAAACATGCAATGCTATTCCAAAATAAGTGAAAAAATGTGACCATAATAAATGAAGATCAGCGAACATCGTAATACAATGTCAAAAAGGTAGTAACACTGAATATATGTATTGGTATTTGGAGTGTGGCCGAGTGCTAGAAATAATGTAAAATTTTCTTTCAAAAACTTACATTTTATTGACAAACTTTGACCGAATATTTTCGAAGCAAACGCTACATCGTCAGGGTCACAAAATCGATATCACAAAGGCCATAATTTAATTTCAAACAAGGTAACAGATTTCAGTGGTAACAATTGATAACAAGCTATTAGATCAAAACACTCTTAGTTTTACAAAGAAAATTTTACATTATTTCTAGCACTCGACTACACTCCAAATACCAACATAAATAATGATTAAGTTCCCGATTTTAGCGTAATAAGATAAATTTAAATATATTTCCATGAATATGTTTCGACATGAACGTATGCAATTTTCTTAAAGCTGATTCTTGATATGAAACGGAGTATTCTTTAAATGGAGACTTTGCAGGTGTCTGCAATTTGATAAATTTCGTGTCCAAGCAAAAACTATTGAGTGAAATAAACACGAGGCTACCCTTGGTTCATAAATTGAAGAATTCATAAATTGAAGGAGGTGTGAAAAAATGATTTTTTTGCTAGAATACATGGGAAATGCCTTTGAATGAGTTACAAAACAGTGCACTTTTTTCTTTTTGAATCTATTTTTATACTATTACTTATATCTGGATACAATTATCTATAATACTGCGAAATAAGCTCATGCAGTATTTTCAGATGAAGCATGACACCATTTGCTTGCAAATTATCGATTGCCCTACCCTATGAGCAAGAATGATTGTTCGAATATGAATGCTATGGGGTTGTATTTTCAGCAGATTGAAGGAAATTTTTGTGCAGCAGAAATACTTCACGGAACGTGCATATGAAAATACAACGTGCAAACAAACTCTTTAAAAGTCATAGATTTCCGCAAAAATTATACAAAAGTCCATGATAAATCCTGTTTTCCCGAAGTGTAAAATCACTAAAAAAAAAAAAAGTTTGTGAATGAAATTTCATTTTTATTCAATACTCCTTATTCGACTTTTTGTGCCCCCACTTAAAGTTCGAGTTTTGTATTTAGACACTTTAATTCGTCTCTCGATCCCTCGTCCTGCATCGAAAAAATTAAAGAGTTCCTCTTGAATAACACCTTGGTGCAATGAAGGGGGTAAATAGAACCAGGTTGTTGTGGTTAAAATAATAATTATGAAATAATATTATGGTTTTGTAATTATAGTAGTTTTATGGCTTTTATTGTGATTTAGTAATTATTTAATTTTAACCTCAACATCTTGGTTCTATTTACCTATTACCTTCATCGAAAAAATGTTAAAATATTTAATATAAATTACTTACGTTATCGATTGTTTGAGATCCATCGTGGAAGTCAATAGTGAGGTAGTCCAGACACTTTAGGATGACACCCACGTCAGAACTGGCCGGTGCTCATCAGCTCCCAAGCCTCTGCCAACATCAACATTCATAAGACGCTTTCTATCGACTTTTAATGGAACACTCTATACACTGTTGTCAGTGGTCGGCCCAAGCAAAATGAAGACCGAATTTTCTCTTACTTTTGTGAACGAAAAATACGATTCGATAGTCGACAAATTCAGACAATTTGACACTTAGACTAGACACTGGACTAGACACTGGACATTCAGATTAATTTAAAACCAATCAAAAAACTATGCTCAGATTTGAATATGTGTAATGAAAAACTATCGCTTCCATTATGTAGTTTTTGTCAACACTAAAAAAACACCTAGTGAGCGCGTGCACGCGCTCACTAGGTGTTTTTTAGCAAATAGTGCAACCCAGAGATTCATTTCCCTGATATTGAGATTGTATCATTCCACTGAAGGAAAAAACCGTCAAAAAAGTCCTGGTCAGTTTAGAGGTTTTTTACTTTACCCAGAGATTATTTCATCCCCTAGAAGGATATTTCATTCCACTCGAAGGAAAAAACCTTCAAGACGAACGAAGTCAGTTTAGAAGTTATTTCCTCCACCTTGAGAATAAATCCTTTAGGTGTGAGGGTATTTCATTCCATATAGAGGAAATATCCAAAAACTTTTGGAGGTTTTTTTGAGAAACCTTCACGGTGAGGATTCAGGTTCCGTATAACCTCACAGTAGAGGTTTTTATTTTTAACTGTGTGAGTTTTCAATTTAAATTATCAAAATTAGGCACCCGGACAATTTTTGTAAACATGAAATGTTTTTTTTTTACTACTATTAAACGCCGCGTCGTGAAGTGCAGATCACGCTGCCTGACGACTCTCGTGCATCATTATTTTACGCTAAAAATGCAGAAAAAATGAAGCAAAATTGGGTAGATGTAACTAGAATTGGCTTAACTGAATTTCTTGTCGCCTAATTTCCTATCATTGTTTAATTCTTCGAACGACGTAACATCTTAAAACTCTCTACGGGTTATTTCATAAAGTGTAAGATACATACTCAAAGATATTCAAGTTATAATCTCTCCTAGTCATTGTTCCAAAAGAAGAAGAAGAAGAAGAAGAAGAAGAAGAAGAAGAAGAAGAAACAGGAGGAAAAATGTAGGCCATGTTTGATACAGTTAGGTCGATTCTGGTTAAAGTCTTTCAGTGATGTCTTGGAACTATCGTGATTTTCAGATACATCATGAGAATGTTCTCACTGTTATGAAGTGAAATTTTGCTTCGTTTTTTCTTTTTTTTACTGGAAACTAGGCAATGTGTAATGGACCAGGTTAATCTGGGTTAAAGTCGTCCTTTGGTAAAGTATCTCGTAGGACGTCAAAAAGGGGTAGGTGGTAGACAAAACGGGTGGGTTCCTCCTCCTTACGCGACCTGATTCCAGTTTGAAAATTTTGATAATTTTCATGGAAATTCATCATCATCATAAGATTAAAAATCTCCTATTTCATCTAAAATTGATTAAACCTGGTTTGAATTTACTGCATATTCCGCCAACAAATCAATGTAAATTTTCAAATAATGCATGGATGTAATGCGTTTTTCATCAGAAATGCATCTCCTCTACATGTAAGTCTCAAGAACTCATGTTCTCCGGTTTTAAGAGAACATGAAAGGGGCTCATATCTTAAGAAAACCTAGTTTCACTCCACCATTAAAACTCAATTTATTGTTTGTGACAAAAACATACTTTTGTAGGCGAGGAACTAAAATTTTAAGGATGCTTGTAAGTGAAAGAGTCATTTAAATTAGGAATAAAATAATTAAACTGTAACATTGGTTTTTAAACCCCTCAATCGATTTAACACTCATTACCTTCGTAATCTAGCCGCAATGAAAATTTGACCCCATCATTCATCTTCTAAAAAACTCAAACAAAAAATAATACCTGAATCCTAGGAATTAGGAGAATTATGAGTTTATATGAGCGATTGATAAATGCTTGAACCATTGATTGACTTAAACTTTTGTAGTTCTTAAAAAGATTGATACAATTTGATATATGCATTTTTCATGCGCTGCTCTTAAATGCTAGAAACTTGACTTTGAAGTTGATTTCTAAAGTGCTCGTTACATGAACAGCATTCTTTGTACAAATTCAAAGAAGAAACATGCGATGTATAGTGCTTCCAAACACATTATTTTTAGGCGACCATTAATAATTTCGATTCTAAAGCAATCGTAACTTCAGCTCCCACAAAAAATGGATGGGAGAATGCCGCAAATTAATTTATTCTTAAGTATTTGATTTATTATGTTTGGCAACAGGGATGCTCATATCCAAGATCCAATCGTAGGCTAGCCTCAATTACCGCGGTACCCGTGTGAATTTGTATTCAGCTCATCGATTCTCATCGGTTATGTCCGCCGCAGTGACTTAATCATCAGCCAGTTCAACCATACGAATCAACATTTTGACCCGGTAAACCCCTTCCATGCCACTAAAAACCTTGAAAAATCCCTGACTCCGTGTTTTTTCGATGCCTAGTATGAAACATTTGTGTCTTAAGTACGTAGGAGGCAATTAAAAGTTTATTAATATTTAAAGAGCGTCTTGACTTTGGTCTGAATTTAGGATAAACTTCGAAAACTCACTGATTTAGTTTTTTTTTCAGGTTTGTCTCCTCAATATGAAATAAATGGGCCTATTATTAAGTCAATGAAATACGGAGAGATCCTTTTATTTTCGATTTAAAATGGATCGGTTGCGAAGGAAAAATGTAAGACGAACCTTGATAATGTCCATACCTCATTTTTCTACAACCCAACCAGCATCTATTGCAATAAATTGCAATCACACAGTAAAATTATTGCTATTGCATCGGCGTGTTGTGTATGTTGCCTATTTGCCGATTGAAGGAACACTTCTTTCTGAAATTTATTTCGATAAAATTGAATGGCTCATTGCATTGCAAGTTGCCTATCTGTCTGACACAAGGAGCACATTTTCGTCAAAAAAAAAAAAAAATGTCGTTTAAAATCAGCATTTATTCACCAAATGATGTGAGAATGTTGCAGTTGCATGGTGAAAAATCGCAATATAATTGCAATTAATCACGATTTGGTTTTAACTTTTTCTTTGCACTGAGCGCTACTTTGTTTTTCCAACAATATAGAATTTACAAAACTTCCCTGAAAATCCCTAGTAAACTAACAAGGAGGCATTTAAAATGCTTCTTAATAAAAATTGATACAACGGGCATATCAATTTGAAAGTACGAGATCACAAATTTTCTATACTCCTCTTGTTGTCTCTCTGATTGCTGCAGGACATCACAAGATTATTTAGACTTATATTTACGTGAGTGTCAAAAATAACATCAAACAAATGAATATTTTTTTCATTCTAAAAACAGGGCACGGTCAATTTACACATGCAGAATATCTATGAAGCGAAAAATTATATTCAATAACTTACCACTGAAATGTTATCCCTTCAGCACAGCGTGTGAAGAGTTGATGATTAAATTATCCTTGTGATCACTTTCTATTATATCAAATATAATAATGAAGTCAATCAACACAACCAAAATGTATACAAACACCGATAATTGATTCAAATATATGCCCAAAACATCAATGACTTTTTTACATTCTTGATTCTTAACATCGTGATAATACTCATGCCAACTCAGTGTGACCTTATGCCAAAACCATTTTCCACAAAAAGAACTAAAAATGCTCAGGGCTCACCCTAGATGATTGCTTTAAATCTAGAATAGCATCAATATTAGAAACACTAAAACGCAAAGGTTGGTATAAGATTCCGACTAAAAACACGCTGAGAGTAAAGAAAAATTTTCTGTAAAACGTCCCTTCCTTAATGCGAATAAAAACACAGTCTGAATTAATCACGGCCAAAAATCCAAGACGTATCTGAAATTTTAAATTTGATTTCAAATCGACCGATCGAATTCCTGGCTGGCTCCAAATTGAATCACAGAACTTTTTCTTCCGCAAATGGCGCACATGTCGAACCGAGACCCGCCGTTTCACTAATTTTGAGACGGAGGTGGTGATGGAGCATTGAGTTTTATTTTTTTCGCAATTAAGCATCAATTTTCCTAGGTGAACTGTATCATAAAAAATGACGCACTTAATACGGACTATAATAAACGGACCCCACTACCGGCTTGGGCTTAGCCGAAAGGTGCAATTATCAGTCCGAGGAGCGCTGAAGTGGATATTTTTTATGAGTTTCTCTCACAGGATCCTTGTCTAGCGGAACTGAGAGCCTTCAGCTGTGAACTGTAGTGGCAAATATTTTAAAATATTATCTTGGGCAGCTCAAAATGGAAATTCATCGTGCGAAAGCGAACAGCGATCATTTGGGTTACAATTTGGACGTATTTACAGAGAAAGAAACTATATTAATTGTGTCATAAGTCCTGCCATACATGTCTTCTTGTGGATCTCAGGTCTCATGTTACAATGGATGTATGACTCATTTTTATTTAAACACGTCCCTTTTGCAATTAGAATTGGGGAGGGACCGCCCCCTTTCTCGAATTTCACGAGATTTTCAACGAGATTCACGATTTTTCAGTTTCACCCTCAATGTTAGGGTTTGATTTTCTTTCAATTAGACTCGTGTCGGTAAACCTCATCATATTCTTGTGGATCTCAGGGCTCATATCAGAATGGATGTATAGCTCCTTTTTATTTAAATACGTACAATTTGCAATTAGAATCTATACTATTTTTGACTTTTGAAGAGGGACCGCCCCCTTTCTCCCCCTAATGCGTGCCACCACTGTTTTAATGTTAGCTTTGAGAGTCTTCAGGACAGTTAGTCTAAAAGGACTGCAAGGATGAGAAATTAAAAAACGAAACGGACATTTTTAGGATTTCTGATTTATTCTTCGTTCAAGTTTCATACTCCAACCACCTTTACATCTAAGCACCACGTCCACATAAACTTCGATGTCTTCATGTTTTTTAGTTGTGCTAACTCGAAACTGCCGTATGAAGTTGGATAGTGTTGTCTTCATGGCTATCATAGAATATTTGTTACCTGTAAACAAGGATAGAATTAATCGGAAAATGACGTTAGCCTGATTGGAAAAAAAAGACACACTATTTCAATTAAACGTAATTATTATAGACAGAACAATTGCACTTGAATAAAGTCGAAAGAGGCTATGCAGATCAGAATTGCTCACTATATGCTTACTTTTGATCGATTATGTAGCATCACGTCCATGATATTGGACTCCATGCTCACCCCTGATATACTTGCGTGCTCATCTCGTCCAAGATCTTGGACTCCATGCTCATCGCTTAACTTCTCACTTCTTTTCATATTGAGTCCAATAGCAAGTAGACCTCTCGCAGTTTTAAAGTTTATCATCATAGAAAATCGTATTTTCCTCTTATCTACTCTAACTTGAACTAACCTATACTAACCAAACCTAACCAATCCTAACCTAACCTAACCTAACCTCACCTAACCTAACCTAACCTAACCTAACCTAGCCTAACCTAACCTAACCTAACCAAACCAATGCACAATTTTTTACGAAAAAAAGTTTGTTCGTCTTTATTTCACAAAAATTGTCTTAATGAATTTTTGGACCATATGCTCGTGTGTTGTCAGAGAATTTCTGCATCCCACAATTTTGGACGCTATGCTCACTTCGATTTTTCTAAAAAATTATCCCTCATTAAAGTGAGCATGGAGTCCAAGATCTTGGACGTGATAAGCAACCGAACATTATATAGGTGATCATGGAGTCGAATATCATGGACACGATGCTACATCACCCTTTTGATTTGATGTCGATGACCAAAGTAAGAAACCACGTATTTCTGAGCTGACCGTGGGTTGGATATTAATCAGTCAAAAGCCTTTAGAAATCTCTCAATGCTATCGTGTTTAATTTTTGCTTCAAAATCAGTAGATTTCTTCCATTCTACTTTATTTGTGACACTTTTTCATTTCATGAAAACTTATCGGTTTATAGCCTTTGAAATCTTGATTAAAGCTTTCTAAACTTATGTGTTGGCATTGCAAGAGAAGTTTAAAATGACTAAAAGTCTAAAAAAAATGTATTCACTATATGAATAAGTATAATATAATATGAATAAATAGAGGCCAGAACACAATTAATGTCCTCTAAAGTTTGCAGTGCTCTTTTTTTTTGCAGACTTACCAATACATCCTCTAGCACCACCGCTAAAAGGTATGAAAGCATACTTGTGTCTATTCGCCCTTTTCTCAGCTGTAAAATTATCCGGGTTGAATTTGTGTGGTTCGGGCCAAAGTTCTGGATCATAATGCGTGAAGAATGGATAAATTACCGCAGTTGCACCAGCTGGCAAAACGTAATTTTGTGCTGAAAACAGATATTATCAATCATTTTCAATTGTTGAGACATGGCAACTTGTCCTCAAAAAGCTGAAAATGTGGCTCCCTCTGCTAAATGCGTACATTGATGGGCCACCAGACAAGGTCATGCATGTAAGTAGCCACGACTACACAAAGTCTTTCAACTACACGACAACAATAATGGGAACTAACTTAAAGAATCTTATGGGTCTCTGCCTCGTCATATTTCCCTAAAATTGGACAGAATTTTGCAATTTGGACCTATAAATTCCGGCCCGGTTTATAAACAACGTATGTGCCATTAGTTTCCCTATGCACATAAGTGTTTTTTTGGATGAGCCAAAATTTCTAGGTCCAAATTGCAAAATGCAGTCCGATTAGTCTAATTGAATGTATAAACGATCTAAGGGGCTTCGCGTCCGCCCCCTGGCCGCTAGACGGCCCAACCCCACACTGGAAAAAAAAGAATCTTAAATTTGCCGCCAAGAGGTATTTCTTCTTAAATCAAGAATTTTGCTGGTTAATATAAGCTACTTTTTTGCTTAACCCAAGCATCATTTTTCTTGAATTAAATACATTTATAACATTAAATTTAAGTTTCTTGGCCAGAAATGCATGAAAATAAAGACACTTCACTTTCCTTGTTCCTTCGGTGAATATTTAAAAAAATGCAACCTCCTGCCTTTCACATTTGGCCGCCATCTTTGATTTGGAACGCCCCCTTTGGCCGGAGGGCCTTGCGGAATTTATTCATGAAATCTACGACTAAAATTACATAGGAAATGATACCAGATACCTCACATGATGAGACAGAATGAGCATTTTAAAATACCGATTTCCCGGACCCTCTTATTACGGCCGCCATTTTCAATTTTAACTTTTTTGAGGGATATTCCGAGGTCGGGTCATTTTTAACTTTTAGGAAGTTGTTCAGGGGGACCTACTGATGACGATTACATAGGGAAAGTTTGTTACGCAATTTTTCCCGGTCAAACCGCACTTTCCCCCTACTATTATAGCACGATCCTGCTTCTCGAGTCGTACACTTTTTGGAGGATTGTGCAAAATAGTTGGAACTTTTTTTGAAACTGAGGAAGTTCTGATGACATTTGCATCCTCAACACTTGCCTACAGTTCATTTATACCCTCTTTCGACTTATTTTCGTGAAAAATGAGTCTTTTAAACCTCTACTTAGTAAGACCTCGGAAATTCTGAGGACCAAAAAAATAAATACCGAGTTGAGTTTTTCTAGTTCATTTGATTTTTATCGGTTACAAAGACGTCCTCCTAGTGTAAAATTTCATCCTCTACAAGTCGAGTTCTTTGACATTTTTCTCGTAAACGCACGATTTCAGCGTAAAATCGAGTTTTTTGTACGAAATCGAGGTCTAAACCAAAATATCATAATTTCATCACAAAATTGACCTTTGGCACCATTTAAAATGATTGAAATTGGCCCAAATTTTGGCAAACATATTTTTTTACTAAACGTCATCGATTGCCGCCTGGGGAGCGGAACATTTCAGACTTTCATTTTTTTTGACGCACCCTAAGGGAGCATATAGTAATGTTACTTAATTCTCTTAAGTATACCATTACGTCACGTCGTTTGAATGATTTTCTGCGTAGAATTCCAAAGAGACTGTATGTACTGAACGGAGCAATGCTTTAGTTCGTGTCTTATCTCGCGGCCAAATTTATCTCAATATTCTAAAATTTTCTGAACTGCTGTGGGTTATTTTTGAAAGTTCATTTGAATGCCTTTGGAACTTATGGTAAGAATTTATTTTTTTTTCATCGAGGTTAGATGCATTCAAAGGCGATTCTTGGACATTGCATTAGGTTTTAAAAGCCACCACTCACTCAATTTCGTATCCTCTTCTGCTTGTCTCACATAAATAGGAACCACAGGGTACAAGCGAAGAGTTTCCTTAACAGCTTGTTCCAAATATTCCATTTTATCTAGATCATCTAGTGTGATAGATCTATCTGCATCTCCAAAAATATTGTACTGCTCTTCGAAAACTTTCTCCTGCAATGCAAAAGTAAAGTATAAAACATTTGGTCATTGAAAATGTTTGGAATGATGGATCTCATTCAACATTCAAATTAATATTACCATACTTGTATGCAAAATATTGTCAAATTCGTTTTGAAAAGAAGCTATCGTGAATCCAGCATTTCAGGATTTGATGTCGTCCTTAGACTTCATCGAATGCGTTCCTTTATCATCTCTTAATAGAGACCATTTTCAAAATTGATTTTAATAAATGAATGGAATGTAATCATTAGCGGTAAGAACGAGGGGGATCGAGTATTTTACATCCTTTCGTAGCCCCCTTTTTTGCTTCTTAACATACTTCACAGCTTTTCCATAGAATTTAAACGATTGAATATTCTTTATCCTTGAGCAGATACGCTGTTTTTGGAAATGTTACGGGCAGATCCCGATTTTGGGCAGATCGCAATCTGCCCGGGCGAATCGCGATCTGTCCAGCTAAAAATGGGCAGATCGGGAACTGCCCGGGCAGATCGCGATTTGCCCATATTAATGCGGGCAAATTGCGATTTGTCCGGGCCGATTGCGATCTCTCCAGGCAAAATTGAGCAGATTTGATTTTGTGCTTGGCAGAAGTGAAAAAATGATCGGCGGTCTCCAAGAGATGCATGCCGGCCCGCGAGTTTTCTGCCCAATCTGTCCAATTTTTTTGGGCACATCGGGATCTGCCCAGAAATCGGGATTCGCCCGTAACAGAAATACCACATTAAGATATGCCCGGTTTGCTTATATCTTCGTCTATTTCGAGGTATGTACAAAATTAGATGAGTTTTACCGACTCACTTGATATTCGGGATGAATAGCTAGCATTAACAAAACAAAACAGTTGGTTTGCGCGGTGGTTTCACTTCCCTGTAAAAAATTATATTAAAATTAGAACATCGACAACATGTGAATATTCTTCAGTCAAAAAGTACCTGAGACCATGTCAGTCATCTCTGAATAAGTGCGAAAATCTGGCCGTCTTGATTCTGATGTGAATCAAAATTTAGGAGATCTATATTACATGACCGGCTCAAAATTGTACTGCCGAAGTTTGTCTAATATTGCTCCTTCAAAAGCAGTTCAAAGTTTGAAGGCAAACCACGGCAATTTCGAGAAAAACGGTGTTACATCGTGCCGATGATGACGTTTCTACACTGAAAAAAACACTCCGGCCGTGGAAGCCGTACTTACGGGCTATATAGAGATTGCTCCGGGTGCTACGCCCGGAACTTTCGGCCTCTGAGCCCGGAACACGGACGGTATCTCTATATAGCCCGTAAGTACGGCTTCCACGGCCGGAGTGTTTTTTTCAGTGTAGCTTTAGAAGCAATTAATTTCTATAAATCTCAGAATGCTATCGGTAATGAAAATTATGCCGTGAAATTTTCACTCAGTTTTTTTTGATAATAATGGTTAGCGTTTTATATAAAAAATTGGAAATAAATTTTTTTCAAATTTTAACTTCAGTTTTTACTTCATTTTATTTTTCATTTTTATCATTTCATTTTTAACTTCAGTTTTCATTTAAAGGGTCTCTTTGTTTAACCTCATTGAATTAAAGAGTAGGAATTCAAAACCTGGTAAAAGCCATTAGGTTGCACAGACTTTGTGTTTGTTCTCACTGTAAATGAATCTCAATGCATTTGCATAGCCTTTATATTGAAGTAATCAGGGGCACGCCCTGTGACTGCTGCGCGGTCCAACCTCCAAAGACACTTTGCACCTCGGGTGTTAACACAGCTCAGTGCCAAAAATAGAATGTAGGTAAGGAAACATACCGCGAGCATGAAAGTTAGAGCCTCATCTATCTTATCTGTGTCAGAATAATTGTGGATGCTATCTTCTTGAGAATTGTGGATGGCATCTAGTAGATACTCCGGACAATCAATGTCTCCATTCATTTCATCATTATTCTTGCCGCAGTTTTTTGAAAAATGTGTTCTCCTTTCATTAAGTACCTGTAGTGGGGTCAAGATAAAAAAACGAGTCAGCATACAAACAACTACAGGAAAATCTAACGCACCCCAAAAATCAATTATCCCGATAAGTTGCGATTTGATCGGAAAATTTATCGCGATTTTATCGACGTCAATTTGTCGCAATTTTATCGGATAATAAAACTGCAATTTCATCTCATAAATTTGAAATAAAATCGCGATTTTATCAACGACAATATATTGCAATGTTTTCGAAAACGTTCGAATCATCGAATCACCTTAAGGTGATTCGACGGACGTCATACCTATTTTGTGTCAGAACGGCATGCGATGTATCGCATCAATTGGTTCCATTTTTCAGCTAATCGTCATTTTTCTCCAATTTTGAGATCGCAGTTCTGTTGCCAGGAGACTAAAGCACTCACTTACCAATTTTAACAAAGAAATTCAACGTAATAAAGGCGTGGTTTTTTTAGAGAGAAAATATCGCATTCGAGTGCAGTTTCGATATCAGTATCGAATGCGATGTTTTCTTTCTGAAAATACCACGCCTTCATTACGTTGAATTTCTTTGTTAAAATTGGTAAGTGAGTGCTTTAGTCTCCTGACAACAGAATTGCGATCTCAAAATTGGAGAAAAATGACGAGTAGCTGAAAAATGGAACCAATTGATGCGATATATCGCATGCCGTTCTGACACAAAATATGGCCTCCATCGAATCACAAGTGCTCAAACATGGTAATGCGATGTGTTTCGACTGCAACTTCTAGTTGTTGTTATTTAAAGTAACTTAACCACATTAACCAAAAATTTAAATTAAAAATTAACACCGGATGAAAATTTTGTCATGAAATAAACAATTTTAAGAAAAAATGTACGTTATTAAAATATACAATCTAATATAATTTATAAAGTGTGTAATTGAATACTTGCTCTAATGCTGAATTCTCGAAAATCGTTCCACCTCTTTTTCACCTCCTTTGCAGCACTTGTTTTTTCATACACGTAGTCCGTATATAACCATGGTGCAAAAATTCGTTCCATTACAAAAGGCGCACATCTAGAATGATTTGAAAGAAATCAATCATCGTTTAGTAATATATGTTTATAACAGCTGTGGGGAAAACTATGATTGGCTCATGGAAATTGCAGTTTCTCTGGGAATTCCGGAAAATAACGAAATAGAGACCGATCGTTTGTCCTCAAAAGTTAAAAAAATTGAAACTATATTAGGGGATTCCACATCAGTACACATATCATAGAACTGCCGTCTAAATAAATCAGGGAATGGGATTAGTGGCCTTTGTTTACTCCGCTAACTGTTCGTAACTTATGTCTACAAATTTTGGCCGATTTCTGTTTTCTGAACTAATTAAATGGCTTCATAAACTTTTAGTGCTGATTGTGAGTGTGATTTTTCTTTAAAAATTCGAAGCCTTTTTTGGTTTTTAATCGAATTTTGTGTGTAAAATTCGAGAATTGTGTATTAGACGTTTTTTATCATCGACCTATTTTTTCGTAAAATCGAGTTTTTCAAAAAGGTTCATCGCAGTCCGAAAAGTTCGGAAGCTCAAGCAAACAGCTTTGCGGTCCTGGATGTCAAAATTCGACCAAAGTGCTGGTAACTGACAGCCCTATGCCAATATTCCGGTAGTTTTCCCGATATTTGGCAGCACTGGCCGCTAGTTTTGGCTCTAGCTGCCAAGCCTCTTACATAGGAGTACTGCGATTGTTGGATCATTTTATATTGTGCGTAGAACAAGAAGATCTTCTCTCCAAAGGTCAAAGGACCATTATAATCAGTATACATACAGTAAAATATTGAGAGTATTTTTATTTCTCTTACTTTGATGTATTTTGAAAAATTCGTGATTTTATGTTCATCGAAAGAAAATAAATTTAATTAATTTATAAACGCCAGATCCTTACCGAAACATTACTTCTGCCCAATCTCGACTTCGGCCTAGCTGAGAATCAACTTGTACCCCAAAAGATGCCTCTAAAAAAGAAACGTGACTGTAATTTCAATGTAATAGAATGTTTCGGAATTTTTATTTAAATCACATCTTTCTAAAGCATGCATGTTTTTGAAATATTGAACGTCAATTTCCGTTTCTAGGCCCCGATTAAGCTATTATTCATGACTCTAGAATTGACTTTTTATGAAATTTATTCATGGTCGTTTATAATTCTTTTATTAGGCGGTGCAGGATATTTTCAAGCTCATCCGTCATCTCATGAAAAATTAAAAAAAAAAAAACTCAAGTTCTTGGGATAACGGATAAGCTTGAAAATTTCCTGCACCTAAAAAAAAAAAAAAAAAAAAAAAAAAAAAAAAAAAAAAAAAAAAAGTAAACTATTATGATTCTATAATTATCACTTTTTTTTCAACCAGTTTAAAATACACCAAGAATATTTCTTAAAAGACCAATGAGGATCTCTGTCAAATGTACTACGACTGGAATTTCTTGTTGGGACAAGAGAAAATTCCTCCTTCAAACGATAATAAGCACGCCATGATATAGCGCGCTCATTGAAATAGGCTGCCTCGGCACACAGTGGATTGAGTCGATAGGAAAAGTCGGACAAAATTTGGAAACTTTTAAAGCTTATAAGTTTGTTTATAAAAAAATTTGAAGTTCTAAAAGTGGTTTTATTGGTTTCTTCATAAAATTTTCTTCAAAAAACACCCATTGAAATTTTAATTGTGATGAAATAAATATCTCCATTTGCAATTTTAGTAAACAAATTAATGTCCGACCTCTCTAATTGACTCGATCCACAGTGCGGCGGCTACATTAATCATTGATTCAGAACCCATACCTTCCACGGTTAGTTTTCGATGCCGAACGCTTTTTATATGTATGTTTTAACAGCATTAAAATAGAGGAGATAAACACATAAAGCTGCAAAAAGTAGAGAATACTTGCTTAAAATTAGTAGCTCACCACACAGTGTGTCAAATGAAGCCGTGAAGAAGAATGGATAAAAATCTACTTCGACACCACTACCAGAATGTTGTTGCATCTTTTGTATGATAATCGTTGCTCTTTCGTTCATTAGAGGCACAAATCTTGTGATGTTTTTCGGGGCAAAAGATGGCGTAAGTATTTTTCGAGTTTTCTTCCATTTTTCGACTAAAATCAGAAAATAAACAGAGGATGTAGAGTCATTTCGATAGGCTTCCAATACATGTTTTTATACTGCACTCCTTTTTTCCAGTTTATTAAAAGAATACTTATGGATCTCTTTTTCTTGTTTGACCAAACCGAATTCAATCTATATTGATTATGAACGTTAAGATTTGACTCAGAAGTCCATTTGCAAATTTTGTATTGTAAGCATCATCTTATACAGAAAGTATTTAAGAGAAGGTAAACAGTATTTGACGAAGTTAGTCCGCAACCACGTATCTCGTTTGCAATGTTTGAAAATCTCGGCGTCTATCTTGTTTTGTAAAAGATAACAAATCTACATCATTCCTTGAAGTTTTTGCAGAATTTGCTTTGGATACAGAAAAGATTAAACAAGGCAGTTTTTAAGAATTGTCGTAGAGTAGTTTTCCATTTAAAAAATGTACTAGGATAGGACGTCTGCAACGCCGCAAACCGAAATATGTAGCTTCGGAATTACTCCGTCAATTAAGCTCAAACCTTCTCGACTATCGAATTGACTTATTTCTCATTTTTGAAAAAGAGATTTTACGTAGTTCAAAGAGTGGTGTACGAGCAAGGGTGTAACATGACTTTTTTAATACTGCTCATTCTGTGTTAAAAAAAAGCTTTATCAAAACCAAATGCTGATTAGGCACATCAAATTGCAGATAAGCTTTTTAATGCAGTATGATAAAATAATTTTGCTGAACCTGTATTTACGTACGTGGTGCTGTAACTAGACCGGTGCCGACAAATTGATAAAAAAACTCATAAACCACATCTTTGCCTAATGTCTTCGAACTGTTTAAAATGATCTGCAAAATTAAAAAAAGAGAAAAATTATCGGATTATGACATAATTTTCCGGACCTGTCTGGCACGGTCATGTTAACAAGACGACGGAAGAGAGGCTGCCGAAGAAGATACTTGATTGGGCTCCTCCTGGGAGGAGACGAAGGGAAACCCAGTGAAAGAACGGCGACAGGGAGTTTTGAATGAAATAAGGGAGTGCCACTGGGAATGGATGAATATTTTTGGAGACTCAAACGCCGGGATAAGAAAGCGGTCTCTCGCTGCAGTGCGGGGATTCTCTCGGTTATGACCACAATTTAGAGAGCTTTTTTGAACTTTGAAGTTCCTTTCTGGGAAAACCGTATCATCGTGTTTCTCCCGTTTTTAATAAATTAAATATTGCTTGGATTGCAAATTTTTAGCGGGTGCATGAGCTCCATTACAGCGCTTACAGTAATGGCCCGCATTTCCAACCAGTTCGCCTTCAAAACTCGCTCAGGCAATTTGAACGGCTTGAGAGCAATGATAGTTACGCGCTGTAGTATGCGGCAAGGTTCAAAACACTCATTCCATCTCCGTAACATTCGCGCATCAATGGAGAATCTGCATATATTGTCATGGGAACGGAGTTCCCCATGATATTAGAATCGTTCCGTTGCTTTCGCTATGGGATTCCCTATACCTCTGCGACCTTGAGCGTTTCGCCCAGTCTCCGATTTTTGGTTGATTTTCCGATGTATCAAAAACCGTTGTATTTTTTAGCCAATC